TCACCATCATAACCATCATCATCATCACCACCACCATCACCAACATCACAACTCCCCTCCAACCACCATCATAACCATCACCATCATCATCATCATCATCTTCACCATTACCAACATCAAAACTCCCCTCCGACCACCATCGTAACCATCACCACCATCATCATCTTCACAATTACCAACATCACAACTCCCCTCCGACCACCATCATAACCATCACCATCATCATCATCACCAACACCACCATCATCATCTTCACCAACATCACAACTCCCCTTCGATCACCATCATAACCATCATCATCATCATCATCACCACCATCACCACCACCATCACCAACATCACAACTCCCCTCCAACCACCATCATAACCATCACCATCATCATCATCATCATCTTCACCATTACCAACATCAAAACTCCCCTCCGACCACCATCGTAACCATCACCACCATCATCATCTTCACAATTACCAACATCACAACTCCCCTCCGACCACCATCATAACCATCACCATCATCATCATCACCAACACCACCATCATCATCTTCACCAACATCACAACTCCCCTTCGATCACCATCATAACCATCATCATCATCATCATCACCACCATCACCACCACCATCACCAACATCACAACTCCCCTCCAACCACCATCATAACCATCACCATCATCATCATCATCATCTTCACCATTACCAACATCAAAACTCCCCTCCGACCACCATCGTAACCATCACCACCATCATCATCTTCACAATTACCAACATCACAACTCCCCTCCGACCACCATCATAACCATCACCATCATCATCATCACCAACACCACCATCATCATCTTCACCAACATCACAACTCCCCTTCGATCACCATCATAACCATCATCATCATCATCATCACCACCATCACCACCACCATCACCAACATCACAACTCCCCTCCAACCACCATCATAACCATCACCATCATCATCACCATCATCATCATCTTCACCATTACCAACATCACAACTCCCCTCAGACCACCATCATAACCATCACCATCATCATCATCACCAACACCACCATCATCATCTTCACCATCACCAACATCACAACTCCCCTCCGATCACCATCATAACCATCATCATCATCACCACCATCACAACTCCCCTCCAACCACCATCATAACCATCATCATCACCATCATCTTCACCATTACCAACATCACAACTCCCCTCCGACCACCATCATAACCATCACCATCATCACCAACACCACCATCATCTTCACTGAAACATTTGAAAGCAATCATTTAATAAAAAATTCTTTACCTAATGTAAAAAACTTTGAAGACTTTCGCTTTGGAGATCTTGGTTTGTTATCATTATTGTTTGTTTGTTTGTTTGTTTGTTTGCTTGTTTGTTTGTTTGTTTGTTTGTTTGTTTGTTTGTTTGTTTGTTTGTTTGTTTGTTTGTTTGTTTGTTTGTTTGTTTGTTTGTTTGTTTGTTTGTTTGTTTGTTTGTTTGTTTGTTTGTTTGTTTGTTTGTTTGTGTTTGTTTGTTTGTTTGTTTGTTTGTTTGTTTGTTTGTTTGTTTGTTTGTTTGTTTGTTTGTTTGTTTGTTTGTTTGTTTGTTTGTTTGTTTGTTTGTTTGTTTGTTTGTTTGTTTGTTTGTTTGTTTGTTTGTTTGTTTGTTTTGTTTGTTTGTTTGTTTGTTTGTTTGTTTGTTTGTTTGTTTGTTTGTTTGTTTGTTTGTTTGTTTGTTTTGTTTGTTTTGTTTGTTTGTTTGTTTGTTTGTTTGTTTGTTTGTTTGTTTGTTTGTTTGTTTGTTTGTTTGTTTGTTTGTTTGTTTGTTTGTTTGTTTGTTTGTTTGTTTGTTTGTTTGTTTGTCAGTAGCATTACTTAAAAAGTGAAATAATTTAACAGAAAAAAGCAAAAAACAATGAGTTGTTCGTTCATAAGGGCACGTCATCGCACCTGTGCATCTGGTGAAACTTCCTCAGGAGTTGAAAGAAGACTTTGCAATGCTGCCGATGTCTGCTGTATAGTCGTCACAGAATCAACTTGAACGTTCGCGTGAATCCCTCAGGATCGGATCCCAAACCTTTTTTCAATACCAAATGTGAAATTACCCCACCTTACCACATCGTTGAAGAATTATGGTGGATATCTTGGGCAAATGTGCAATACTATGAGGGATATCTTGGGCAAATGTGCAATATGATGAGGGATATCTTGGCAAATATTTATAAGTAATAGCATGGCATTCAGGGCGATTAGTGATTAAATGTACCCGAAAGCCGAGAGAGGTTTAGTAAAAGTCTTTTACTAAACCTCTCGAGGCTTGAGGGACAATACTATACCATAGTTGCCGAGGGAATCCGCGCGTGGTGTGTTGCCTGTTTTGAATGCTGTTTGATTGTCTTATGATTGTGGTACGAACACTTTTCATATATACGCACGCGCAGAAACACATCTCCGTGTCCATTGGCGTTTTAGGCATGCGCATAAACGGAATTTTCTCCCACAATTGTAATGTTCAAGATTAGGGAATAAAAGCTGGCAAAGTGATTGTTCGAATGTGTACGGGACGGTGTCGTCAGATACTGTCCATAGTTGTGCCGATGATTTTCGATGAGGTACAGCTTTCCAATCAGAGGTAATGAGGTAGTACGCTTTTGTCTTCTAAATTTCCCTCATCAAGCATGCAGGGGAAAATTAGAACTAATTTTACCACGGGCAAAATTTTGCCCGTGGTAAAATTAGTTCTAATTTTACTCCATGTTTTAGTAATGAGGTAAATTAGTGATTAATCGTACCTCGCGAGACAAAGGATTTCGAGGCAACTATGGTATTACTTGGATAAATTTATCTTAAATTGCTAAAGAACAATGTTGTAAGGTTAGTGGATATTTATATTAGCGATAGAATGGGGGTTCCTTGCGCATAGGAACGAAGTAAGGTTGGCTGATGGAGTGTAACAATCTAACAATATAGACTTTGATGGCTTGAACCATGGATAATAAAATAAATGGATAGGAAACTAGCTGACGTGACCTAATCTTTTCAATGGGCTGATGGCGTGATTGGATGTTCAAACCTAGTTGCAAACCAAATTCTCAAAAACGGCATGTTTAGCAATAATACAGCTACACATTTTAGTCAAATGAATATAACTACGCCATTCTACGATGAAATCTCTAAGTAATTCCAGTCAATTTTAGCAAATATTTCAAGCACTAAACAGTGAAAAATGCATCCCAAATTTCGTTAAAATTGGGGACGCCAATTTCGTAGCTACAAATGTAAAAAAAAAAACCCAAAAAACGAAAACCATTTACCTTGAATACTTTGTCGTGGCTTAGGAATTTTTTTTAAAACAATTAGACCAGTTTATGCTTCAATATTACTCTTTTAAAGCGGAAAGTATAGTGAAACAACAAAAATGCCTATAATGCGTGACGTCACAGATTGCAACTACGTTGTTTTTGCTTACGTCAGCTATAGAGTCCTATCCATTTATTTTATTATCCATGTTTGAACGAAAGTTTTTAACGATGATTTTCTTTGCAAAAACTGTACGTTCGAAATTCGTCAGTTTCTGAATTTTAAAACCGATCACACGCATTACAAGCGCAGCAACACGCAACAGTTTAGACAGGGTCATGAGGCAGGATGTGTACAAGAAAAGCTTTGCCAGAGTTTTGTGTTTCAAAATAGAACGACGATTGGAAATTACTGTTTGATTCTTTGTAATATCTTGTAGCTTGTTAGTAAAAAAGAAATTTGTCACTTTCCTCATCTAAACCTTTTTTCAAAAAAACTGGCATCGTTTGTCTTGGGGTTAGGGGGGTACAAATGGTACCCATAGCTTAGAGGGTGCAAATGGTACCCGTAAGAAGACTTGGTGGAAATCATGTTGGTCGTTTGGATCGGCGAGAATAAGACAATTATGGCGGCAAAGTTTTTTTAAACATTTTCTCTCCCGTAGCAAGGTAAAGCATGTATATTCCTGGTAGCCGGTCTTACTTCATGAAAAAACAGTCCGCTACCAGTGACTAGGTCCCCTCTCTTATGGCGGTCATTGCGGCTCAATGTGTTAATGGAACACAAAGGTATTCAGGCATGTAGAGGTATTCCTTTTCAGGGCGGTTGCATGCGGATAATACGGTCCGTCGCGTGCGCAAAATAGTTAGGGAGATAGACAGTTTAGAAGCGTCCAAACTGCGCAATACACACTCGCACGAAACGTAAAATAAAATGGCTTAATAAAATTGCGAAAACAAAAAATTGACAACTTTGCCATTTTGAGCGTGTGCAATAGGGCGTGCGCACGCATATAAATAATAAAAAGAAGTGTCCGTGGTCGGGCTGAATAGTAGTACTGTGGAAGATTGGGTTGGAAAATTTACAATTAAGATCTGTATTTTTGGACAATTATTACTGTTTGAAAAATAGTATCCTGCTGATGTAAAATAACATCTAAAGGGTTTGGCAACAATGATGTCCAAAGAGAATGTTAGCCCCAAAGTTTATTTCATAAAATGAGTTATCTTTATGTATACTCAATTAAAAGGCAGTTCAAAAATTTCGGGTAAAATTTTAATAATAATTGATATAAATTGAAACTAATTCTGGCTCAAATTTTATTTCATAAAATATTTTTCTCAGAATACTCATACTCAATTACATGACAATTGAAAAAGAATATTTGTTAAGTCAAAAGTTTAATAATATTTATCATAATTCATATTCAAAGTGACTTTGGCTCAAATTTTATGCCCGAGTAGATTGTGTCCACAGAAACTCGAGGTATTATACTAGATGCGAAATACAACGTTTTAGAAAAACATTAAAACTAAGTCTAAAGTCAGATAAGGTTTTCATATAGTCATAAGTCAGAACATAATACTCGCCTTTTAAGCAAAAGCGAAAAGATTATTTTCGCCACAATTTCAGGCTATAGCCTTTACTTTTCGTCCATTTTTAGCGACTTTTTCATTTTTCATAAATGGACTATGGCTATAGCCTTACTTTTTTGCTGTTTTTTGCCCATTTATGAAAAATGGAAAAAGTCGCTAAAAATGGACGAAAAGTAAAGGCTATAGCCTTACTTTTTTTCCGTCTTTTGACCATTTATGAAAAATGAAAAAAGTCGCTAAAAATGGACGAAAAGTAAAGGCTATATATAGCCTTACTTTTTTGACGTTTTTTGCCTCTTTTTGAAAAATTGAAAAATCGGCCAAAAATGGACGAAAAGTTAAGGCTATTATAGCCTTACTTTTTTGCTATTTTTTGCCTCTTTTTCAAAAATTGAAAAAGAGGCTAAAATGGACCAAAAGTAAAGACTATAGCCTTAGTTTTTTGCCGTTTTTTAACGTATTTTTAAAAAATTAAAAAACCCTAAAAATGGACGAAAAGTAAAGGCTATAGTCTTACTTTTTTGCTGTTTTTTTCCCATTTATGGAAAAATGGAAAAAGTCGCTAAAAATGGACGAAAAGTAAAGGCTATATAGCCTTACCTTTTTGCTGTTTTTTGCCTCTTTTTCAACAATTGAAAAATCGGCCAAAAATGGACGAAAAGTTAAGGCTATATATAGCCTTACGTTTTTGCTGTTTTTTGCTTTTTTTTCCAAAATTGAAAAAGTCGCTAAAAATGGACGAAAAGTTAAGGCTATATATAGCCTTACTTTTTGGCTGTTTTTTTGTCCATTTATGAAAAATGGAAAAAGTCGCTAAAAATGGACGAAAAGTAAAGGCTATATAGCCTTACCTTTTTGCTGTTTTTTGCCTCTTTTTCAACAATTGAAAAATCGGCCAAAAATGGACGAAAAGTTAAGGCTATATATAGCCTTACGTTTTTGCTGTTTTTTGCTTTTTTTTTCCAAAATTGAAAAAGTCGCTAAAAATGGACGAAAAGTTAAGGCTATATATAGCCTTACTTTTTGGCTGTTTTTTTTGTCCATTTATGAAAAATGGAAAAAGTCGCTAAAAATGGACGAAAAGTAAAGGCTATATATAGCCTTACTTTTTTGACGTTTTTTGCCTCTTTTTGAAAAATTGAAAAATCGGCCAAAAATGGACGAAAAGTTAAGGCTATAGCCTTATTTTTTTGCTGTTTTTTTGTCCATTTATGAAAAATGGAAAAAGTCGCTAAAAATTGACGAAAAGTAAAGGCTATATAGCCTTACTTTTTTGCTGTTTTTTGCCCATTTATGAAAAATGGAAAAAGTCGCTAAAAATGGACGAAAAGTAAAGGCTATATAGCCTTACCTTTTTGCTGTTTTTTGCCTCTTTTTCAACAATTGAAAAATCGGCCAAAAATGGACGAAAAGTTAAGGCTATATATAGCCTTACGTTTTTGCTGTTTTTTGCTTTTTTTTTCCAAAATTGAAAAAGTCGCTAAAAATGGACGAAAAGTTAAGGCTATATATAGCCTTACTTTTTGGCTGTTTTTTTTGTCCATTTATGAAAAATGGAAAAAGTCGCTAAAAATGGACGAAAAGTAAAGGCTATATATAGCCTTACTTTTTTGACGTTTTTTGCCTCTTTTTGAAAAATTGAAAAATCGGCCAAAAATGGACGAAAAGTTAAGGCTATAGCCTTATTTTTTTGCTGTTTTTTTGTCCATTTATGAAAAATGGAAAAAGTCGCTAAAAATTGACGAAAAGTAAAGGCTATATAGCCTTACTTTTTTGCTGTTTTTTGCCCATTTATGAAAAATGGAAAAAGTCGCTAAAAATGGACGAAAAGTAAAGGCTATATAGCCTTACCTTTTTGCTGTTTTTTGCCTCTTTTTCAACAATTGAAAAATCGGCCAAAAATGGACGAAAAGTTAAGGCTATATATAGCCTTACGTTTTTGCTGTTTTTTGCTTTTTTTTTCCCAAAATTGAAAAAGTCGCTAAAAATGGACGAAAAGTTAAGGCTATAGCCTTACTTTTTTGCTGTTTTTTGTCCATTTATGAAAAATGGAAAAAGTTGCCAAAAATGGACGAAAAGTTAGGGCTATAGCCTTACTTTTTTGCTATTTTTTCCCCTCTTTTTCAAAAATTGAAAAAGAGGCTAAAATGGACCAGAAGTAAAGGCTATAGCCTTAGTCTTTTGCCGTTTTTTAACGCATTTTTAAAAAATTAAAAAACGCTAAAAATGGACGAAAAGTAAAGGCTATAGCCTTACTTTTTTGCCGTTGTTTACCTATTTTTGAAAAAATGAAAAGACGCTAAAAATGGGCGAAAAGTCCATGCCGTTTTTTGCCTCTTTTTCGAAAATTGAAAAAATCGGCTAAAATGGACGAAAAGTAAAGGTTTAATTGATAATTTTTTACTTTTTACTGGTTGGGTCAGCAAATTTTTTGGCACGAAAAACTCTTCCGTACCACCCCCCCCATAAATGATGACCCGTCTGTTACCGTATGTTTCAAAGCGATATTTGGTACCAAGTTACTTTGTGGATTTTGGCATATTTATTTATATGAATATATATATGTTGGATTAAGGGTATATTTACAGAAATATTAGAAAAAGTACCGATTATAAATAAATCATTTTTAGTTGATTAAATAATTTAATGGACCCTTTTTATTATAGAGGTCCTGGCGAATTGTGTGTTAAGTGCAACTGCGGGACATGACAACAGTTGGAAACTATATACTACAAATTTCCCCAGACTAGCTTAAGGTAATTCCGCAGTTTTGCATTGCGCACTTTTATTGCGCATATCTTATAACTTACAATTGCATCCATTATACGTACCGTTTAAAAAAAACATTTTATGTTACTTCAAAACATCTTAGGTTACATTAGTGCAAAGAATTACGTTAAAATCAATGTTTTTAAAAAAGGCATACAAAAGTGTAGCAAGTGTTCCCTGTGTCTGTACTATATTTATTTACTTGTATTTCATGTTTTAATGCCACAATTCCCTAAAAAGATCGGTGACCCCCGTTTTTAACTGATAATTTATTTCTTTAATGCATTTTACATTTCATATCCGAAATTAAAACAAAAATCATATGTGGATCTTGAAAAAAAATCCTTTATCAATGCATGTTCTCAAACAAAGATATGTAAAGAAATGTGCAAAAGACATTTGTGGATCAGAATTGTACACGTTAGTAGTTTCATTTTGCTCAAAATACAATATTTTTTCAAAAATAATTACAGGATAGGTTTACTAATGCAAAATCCGGGCTAAAAACGTCAATAAATATCGGGCTGTTGTGAGTTTGCTGAAACTCGTAATTAGCGTCAAGATGGCGCCATATTGGGGGTAAAGGTGTGGTATATTGTGATTGTCATATCTTCTTAACGAGTTCGGTGACCCCGACTTTTTTTGTGTGATTTTACTTTATCATATCATAAACTCCATGCCTGGGAAGTTTCAGCACATTCTCATTTCGGGAACAATTACTGCGGAATTACCTTAATTTGTATCTACCTTTTTACAAATTTCCCCAGACTATCTTGATTTTTAAATTGACTTCACCAATGAACTCATCAGATAGGTCGTTGGGTTAGCCGTACATAAAATAAATAGTACATACAAATGTTTATGATCCGAGACATTTTTAACATGTCGGTCCGAAAGCTGAAACCAACAATTGTTTTGTTTGGAAAATTGGATTTTCAATATAATTTCCAACTGTTTCCATGGTAAGGACTTTGAAAACAATCCAAGTGTAAAATTGACTTGATGATATCAAGAATCATTGTTGATTATCCATTATAAACTTCGTTAAAAAATGCGTTAGCCATGCATTGTATTAAAATTTAAGAAATGTTGATAAATAGTCCAGTCAAATCACTATAAGTACATGGTCCTGATCAAAGTAATTTCAATAGATTTGTTTTCAGTGGTAAAGTGTGAGAAAAGTTGTTCTGATTAACATACTAAAAATCCCAAAAAAATCCCTTTGGTGGAACATGGTGAAAATCGAGTTTTTCTTACTACTACCTATAGAAAACCATTGTGGACAGAATGTTGAAATTTTGAAATCATTTTTCGGCAAATGTAATCTACATTATTGGAAAGCTTAGAAAAAACTAAAATATAAATCATTAAACGGTTATCTTGCTTTTGCCTAACCAGCCGAAGTTATACAAGATTTAAAATGCCATAAATTGGTATTTTGTGCAAATTTTGCACTCTTTTTCCAACTTTGAGTTAGAATAACGACAAACTGACCAGTAAATTGAATATAACCGTTTAATGATCTATATTTCAGGTTTTTCTAAGCTTTCCAATAATGTAGGTTACATTCGCCTAAAAATTTGAAAATTTGAACATTCTGTCCACAATGGTTTTCTATAGGTAGAAGTAAGAAAAACTCGATTTTCACCATGTTCCACCGAAGGGATTTTTTGGGATTTTTAGTTTGTTAATCAGGACACCTTCTCTCACATTTTACCACTGAAAAAAATTCTATTGCAATTTCTTTGACCTCTGGTCACAGATTGACTGGACTAAAAGGCAAGCTTGTATCAAAGGTCATCTTAGAACGACCATGAAGTCACAAGCGGTCGCATTGTTTGGTGCATATAAGAGTTAAATATCTCGAACCTTGTATTACAGCCGACATTTGTATGTGGAGAAAAAGCTAGTGGCTTCTCGGTATCTAACTTTTACTTCAAAGACCTCTCTCACCCCCCCCTCTCCCAGTGTCTGCTGCTGAATATATAACCTCGTACCCTGCAGACTATTTTCTCTCGTGCTCTGGTGCCAAAAGACCCAGGTATTTTCTGATATGGAAAATACACTGGGATACGAGATTTTAATTTAACTTGTCTCAACCATGAACTATAAATAAACAGGAAGGCTTCATAACTCAGAAAAACTATTTTGGCTTCATCAAATCATAGGCCTTCATCATAGCAGTTAGCCATCCAGTTTATTTATAGTTCAATGGTCTCAACTCCCAACGGCTATATATACTCGCTGGAAGTTCATTTAAAGTACATATGACATGAAATTTCTTATTTTCTTGAATGAAAGAACTCTTTAAGCTGTAGTGTATTTTTCAGTTTCTTGTTTTTATGGATTGTTCCTGAGATATTTCAATTTGTTTTATTATGTAAATGAGTGTGAATATGTCCGCTAATTTACGACGTCACTTTGGTTGCAAGCTCAACATACACTGATTATAAATCTATTAACTCTACAAACTGTTGATATCAGTTCACGTTTTTCTACAGTGTTTCATCACATTTACCAGTAAGTGAAGTTTGAAATTATCATCTTGGATGATAGCAGTGATATTCAATCAAATTAAAGAGCTTGCAACCAAAGTGACGTCATAAATTAGCGGACATATTCATACCTATTTACATATCAAACAAATTGAAATATCTTGGGAACAAACCATAAAAGCAAGAAACTGAAAAATAAGTTACACTACAGCTTAATGAGTTCTTTTATTTAAGAAAATAAAAAATTTCATGTCATATGCACTTCAAGTTTCTGCGATCATGGTAAACCGCATATATATGTACCTATATCCCATACGTCGTAATCAGACCTTGAATTTTCTATGAAGCAGAATAAAGTGGCAAATAACGCAAATCATTCTCTTACGAAGAGATTTGGACTTAAAAAAAAACTTGAGTTAAATAATGTACTGCAATAAATTACTTTTTGAGTAATTTTACTCAATGATATTCTGAATCACTGTCGTCTGTGGGTGGATTATTTTATGCAAGTTTTGGAGTCAAAATCGTTTGCAGTGCAGCATAGATATGATGGCCTGGAAGCCAGGCAAACTTCAAAGCTACAAAATAGAAGATCTTTGGTTGATGTCGAACTGTACCTCAACCGTGCACAAATCCTTTGTCTCGACTAAACATTATTCATCGTGGTTGCACGTTTCATCTTAGCTATCCCTATTGGACTATTACTTCATTATACACAGGGGGCAGAAAAGTACGATTGTGTTTATTTAAAATACCTTGTCATCAACCAATATATCGCATAGTTTCATCCAGGTTTCATCACGATGAAAATTATGTTGATTTTCGATAATATCATGCCTACTACTTCATGTAATTCAAACATTGTATTACAAGGACTGACCATAGTAGCGTGGGCTCATACTAGAACGATTGACTTTGCTTACACGTACAACACCCTCGGCATCCTTTCGTAAGATGTTCGGAAATTATCGTTGCAATGCAATATGTTTGAATTACATGAAGTAGAAGGCATGATATTATCGAAAAAATAAAAATCAGCTAATTTTGATCCTTTTATGACTATGTCGGCGGATTGTTGTAATATAAATATGGGATATTGGTTGATGACAAGGTATTTATAAAACACAATCGTACTTTTCTGCCCCCTGTGATTATACGAAAATTCAATGAGCTTAATCACCGTGACTGTGCACAAATTAACATAAACTCCGACAAAAACATAATACAATGACTTCTGTTTAGTTTTCAGACCATCATATATCATGATAGACTACAGCTATTTCAATTAAGGTTGTCCACGAGCAAAGTGGAAAAGTCGAATACGAGCACGAAAGGCTGCTGGGAATCGCTTTAAAAATGCATTAATTTGTTAGCGATTCCCAGCAGCCTTTCGCGCTCGTATTCGACTTTTCCGCTTTGCTCGTGGACAACCTTAATTGAAATAGCTGTATACGAGTGCATTTTCTCGTCTGAGAAAATGAATTCCAAAAACAGCATCTGTTTGTCCGCATCGATCTGCATGAACCATTTACAATTAATATTGGAAAATTCTTTTTGCAAAATATTCCAACTGAAGTGGCTATACGAATCGCTGCAAACACTCTCCTTGGAAAAATTCAAGGCCTGAGACTGTTATTAAATATATGTGTAATTTCAAATCACCTCAAATTCACCTGGATCTGGACAACAGTTTCTTCACTACTTCAGTATTCCTCATTCCACCAAAAACGTACAACATGTCATCTCTTTTTCTCCGTTGAATAAATAGAAATTATCGAGTCAGCGCAGCCGACCGCCAAGTGCAGCTAAAGAAAAGAATACGAGAGTTGCTCAGTGTTGAATTATGAAATATAACTTCTTTTCCAATTTACAGGGTCCCCACTTTTTAGTGAAGATGAAATTCAAGGACTTTTCCAGGACTTTCAAGGACCTTTTTCAGTATATTCAAGGACCTGGCAACTGGAAAAATCTTTGAAAATCATCTAACTTTTATCCTTAAACTTAAGGAGAGGAATGCAATTAGAAAAAAAAATGACATCGGAGAAAATGAAATTGGAGAAAATAAACATTTGGGCAATAATCCTTGGGCTGGTAATAATTCTTCAATTATTTCCAACATACTGAAACAAAATTCCAGGACTTTCAAGGACCTTATCAGTTTCCAAGGACTTTCCAGGCCTGGATTTTTTTTAACAAATTCAAGGACTTTCTAGGATTTTCAAGGACCGTGGGGACCCTGAATTTAATGTCAAATCAAATCAAATCAAATATATTTTTGCCACAGAAAAATAACAATGAATATAGAAAATATATATGGAATAAAAAGCAAGGAAGCCCAAAAGAAACCAAAACGCTTATAAAATCTGGACTATCTTTTACATTCTAATAAGACCGAAGCTCATATGAAATTAATACTACAGCTCTGACAATAATAAATAATTCATGCGTGCAAAAGACAAATCTCAATAAGTTTTAAATACACAAAAGTAACATACACAAATCACCTACACAAGTATTATACACAGATATATACATATACATACAAACACATTATAGATACATGACATACATACAGTATCGTCAAAAACCACGGCCAGCCGACAATTTAAGAAAATACAAAAAGAAACAAATTCTGAAAAATAAGGTCATCTTGAAATTCAAGATATGAATTAAAACAAAACTCGTCTTGTTTTAATTCATATCTTGAATTTCAAGATGACCTTATTTTTCAGAATTTGTTTCTTTTTGTATACATACAGTATGTACACATGCAACAGATTTACACCCGTTTTCAAAATTACGCGACCAAAGACGAAAATGCTAGAGTTGACATGTCAGTTTTATGTCATTCGATCACGAAGTTCAAACTTTGAGTTTTGCGGTTCCTTTTCGATGTATATGCTTTGTATGCTTTATAAAAACAGACTTACAATGATTTTCAAGATATTTTAGTGAGAACTATTGTAAAATTTAAGCACGACAAAATCATAACATCACCGTTATAGTCTAGCGCGCGTGTTTTATACTGACAGCTATATTCCAGGATAAATTGTTATTTTTCAAACTTTAAAAGTCATTCACGGCACATATTTATGTTGTGATGGTTTGTATTGTGCTTTAGTTTGTATATCTAAGTTATCTGACTCATTATTGTTCAGTTTTGGTATTAAATACGGTTTAAAATGTCTTTAGACAGTTTGTTTACGTTTGCTATTTTTAGCAGTTCTTGTGACATAAAACTGACATTTGAAGTAGGAGTATTTTTCAGGGAGGTCGCGTAATTTTGAAAACGGGTGTAATGTAAAACAAGGACTAACTCTGTGCGGATGAAAACTCATAGCGTTAACAGGTCCAATTCTTTGACCCATAAATCCATCATGATGTCGGATCGTGCTAATGCAGTCCGAGTCCTTTTCTTTTACTTTGATCACTTTGACGATTTGATTGGCTGAGCCACTAAACACAATATAAAGCAATATGGTAAGTTTTGTTTAGGTTTCCTCCTGTAGTATGACTGGACCAGTAAGATTTGGTCATTATAGATAACGAGCCTCTAAGGGGCTGTTTACATGAGCCCTACAGGGAGGGCTGGCCCTACTAGGCGAGATCCCGCGTGCTATTTGAAATCCTTATTAAAAATTGTTTACGTTTACATGAGAATTTTCTCATATAAACGCAGTAGAGAGGGCTGGCCCTCCTAGTAGAGCTGAAGTGAAAAAGCCATCGAATCGAAACTCATTGAAGCTTTTTTTGTTTTAAGGACGTAGTTCTAAATGGACATTCAAATGTCTGTTGGCTTTTATTCCAAAATTTAGTCGGCAAACTATGATTTTGGCCGCCAAAATAAAAATAATGAGTCGCACGGCAGCCATTTAAGTGCTACTTGCGAAAGAAAGCTATCCCACCAGTAGGGCTGATTTTTCTCATGTAAACAAGCGGTGAAAATTAGGGCTCATGTAAACAGCCCCTAAAACTGAGAGAAACAGATAAACATAACCGAGACAACACGGCCGCTCATGTCGTAAATAGTACATAAAAACTACGTTTACACGCTGCGATTTGTCGTGTACGATTCGTATTGTGGCGTATTAAAATGAGTGCTGACGCCATAATTTATTGCAGTTTCCTTGAAAAGAAATCTCAAATGTAGTCAGCTTACGAATACATGATTAATCGCAGCGTGTAAACGTAGGGCGTAAAAAAAAACCTGTGGTTCCGGTTTCATATCGTGAAAAAATTAGGGTCGGTAGGTCGGAAATAATTTTTTTTGAATATTTTTTTCATGGTTTTGGCAGTTTTTTTGCTTGGCAATTTGCAGTGAGTCCCGACATCAATGTTAACTAGAGATGCGTATTTCCTATGGACGAATTTAGGCGATTTGGTTCAATAATTAGTGTGACAACAGACGCCATTTTGGCACGCTGTATGAGCAGCCCGCAACCACCTGGAGAAAATAGGGTCGCATGGTCAATCGCGTTGGAAAAAATAATACGGTCGGCAGAAAAAAATAGGGTCGGTCGGGAACCGGAACCAGTGAACCACAGGTATTTTTTTTTACACGCCTAGCTTAAAACGATTCTTATACCTTGCTATGACTTTGGCAGCGCTGTGGACCTCAAACGAAGTCATTTGATTGATCACTGTCTCCAGATTACGAACAGAATCACTAAAACGTGGATCCCAGAATTTCACCATACCATCCACACTAGGAAGATAAGAATATTTTTATAACATTTGTCAGCCAGTACGTCAGTCGAGCGGGCAGCTAGCCGGCCACTGAGCTGGTCGGTTGCTTGGTCAGTCAACTCCAATACGAAGAAATGTAATATATTTTTATAATAAAAAATCCCATCTTGATCAACTTTTCACTGTCAAAGTTTCCAGATATGATGTCATTAGGTGAATTGCAAACTAGTTTCCAATTGTTTTTTGCACACAAAATTCACCTAATGACATCATATTCATGAAAAAGTTAATCAAGATGATGCTTTTTACTACAAAGATATATTACAATTCTAGGATTCTATTATAAAGATATATTACAATTCAAAAGTAGGCCCAGTTGGTCAAACAGTTAACCCTGGGGGCCGGTTCCCCATCGCAGCTCGCGATCCCAAACCTGTTCTGGCTGTTCATAGAGCTAACTGCAAACTATTTTTTGTTACCCACAAAAAAGTAAATATACAGGCGCTCACCTTGCCGAAATAATACTCTCTGAAGTACTTCTCTCCAACACGACATTGACAACCCAACTCTGATGTTCTCGCATGGTCATCACTCGGCTGTCGTTTGGTGGTAATCTTCTGTCAAACAGTCGAACAGAACCATCACCACAGCCTACGACCAGCAGAGAACGACCAACATAGTCAGACACAAGACTGGTCACACAGCTTTCTGCTCCTGTTGGAATGTCCTGAAATATATGAACAAGATTACGTAATGCAGGTTTTCTATATTTCATAGTTATCTTACACTCATTAAGAAGTCATGGGAATATTACCCAATCATATTACTTTGTACTGATCACATGATGATTATAAAACCTAGTCAAGTATAATCTTTATTTGTGGGACTGGGTAAATTTTTGATGAACTCCTAGGACTGGATGAAGTTTTGATCAAGTCTTCAGACTAGATGAAGTTTGATCAAGTCCTACGACTGGATGAAGTTTGATCAAGTCCTAGTACTGGATGAAGTTTGATCAAGTCCTAGTACTGGATGAAGTTTGATCAAGTCCTAGGACTGGATGAAGTTTGATCAAGTCCTAGGACAGGATAAAGTTTGATCAAGTCCTAGTACTGGATGAAGTTTGATCAAGTCCTAGTACTGGATGAAGTTTGATCAAGTCCTACGACTGGATGAAGTTTGATCAAGTCCTAGTACTGGATGAAGTTTGATCAAGTCCTATGACTGGATGAAGTTTGATCAAGTCCTACGACTGGATGAAGTTTGATCAAGTCCTACGACTGGATGAAGTTTGATCAAGTCCTAGTACTGGATGAAGTTTGATCAAGTCCTACGACTGGATGAAGTTTGATCAAGTCCTACGACTGGATGAAGTTTGATCAAGTCCTAGGACTGGATGAAGTTTGATCAAGTCCTAGGACTGGATGAAGTTTGATCAAGTCCTAGGACTGGATGAAGTTTGATCAAGTCCTAGGACTGAATGAAGTTTGATCAAGTCCTAGTACTGGATGAAGTTTGATCAAGTCCTAGGACTGGATGAAGTTTGATCAAGTCCTAGTACTGGATGAAGTTTGATCAAGTCCTAGGACTGAATGAAGTTTGATCAAGTCCTAGTACTGGATGAAGTTTGATCAAGTCCTAGGACTGAATGAAGTTTGATCAAGTCCTAGGACTGGATAAAGTTTGATCAAGTCCTACGACTGGATGAAGTTTGATCAAGTCCTAGTACTGGATGAAGTTTGATCAAGTCCTAGGACTGAATGAAGTTTGATCAAGTCCTAGTACTGGATGAAGTTTGATCAAGTCCTAGGACTGAATGAAGTTTGATCAAGTCCTAGGACTGGATAAAGTTTGATCAAGTCCTACGACTGGATGAAGTTTGATCAAGTCCTAGTACTGGATGAAGTTTGATCAAGTCCTAGTACTGGATGAAGTTTGATCAAGTCCTAGTACTGGATGAAGTTTGATCAAGTCCTAGTACTGGATGAAGTTTGATCAAGTCCTAGTACTGGATGAAGTTTGATCAAGTCCTAGTACTGGATGAAGTTTGATCAAGTCCTAGAACTGGATCAAACCAAGCATAATGTTGACTGTGAGTGGTCCCTCGAAGAAATGAGGGACCGCAGACAACACAGTAAGAAACAAAATATGCCCACTTTTCACTCTTGTGAAATTGGCTCCGCCTTTGCATAAACATTACTATATCGAATTAAATCTATCCAATAGGAAACCAACAATGTCATGTTTATTTACAGGGTATATAAAAAAAGGTAATCGAACTTCAGCGCGCTATTGTACGTGAATTACTCAGCATATGAACTTTTTTTCATATTCGAAAAGATGAGGCTTTTAGTTGTTGAATGACATGTTTTCATGCCAAATGGAGAAAAAATAAGCAAGTATGAGTCCGATAAAAAATGTTAGTCAGAATCGCATATTACAACGGTGAAAATATGCGATCTGACTAGCATTTTTTATCAGACTCGTACTTGCTTATTTTTTATCCATTTGGCATGAAGAACATATCATTCAACAGCTAAAAGCCTGGTCTTTCTGAAGATGAAAAAATCTCGTTCATATGCAGTAATTCAGATACAATAGCGCGCTGACGTTCGATTACTTTTATTTTGACACACTCTGTATAAAATCAACATTCACTCTGGAAATTATTTATAGCATAATTATTACATATCAGATTTGATTGACAGGCATATCGATTTCGACTATTGGGAATTTTCCGTTGTGTGGGCAACAGGGATTTCGCTTCTTACTGTGTTGTCTGCAGTCCCTCCTTTCTTTTCTTGTGCCCGGAAATCTAAACCCTCAGAAAGGAGGGACCGCTCACAGTCTAAGCATAATGTACCTGTAATTTGATTTCTCTCTGAGTGTCCCAGACACGGATATGTCTAACATCTCCTGACGCCATGAGCCAACCGGTCTGCGGTTCCCAATTCACAACTAAACCTGATCCATTGCCTCGTTTAAAAGGCAGCAGACTGGAGAGTGCTTGCCAAGCTGTGACGAGTTCAGGTTCACCTTGAGTATAGTTTCTCCAAATACGGACACCGCCATCATCTATAGTGGAAAGACACTGATGTATTATAAAAACCAAAACAGTGTAAATAATAAAAATATTTTCATGTTAAATCAAGTCATAGGCACTGTAGGGTGTAATGTAGTTGGCAGACAATATATAACGACCTCCTGTTCCACAGTTATGCATCAGTCAATTCCAGCTGCGACCATCCCCCCCCCCCCGGACAACCCCCGGGCATGGTAAATTTTCATTTTTTTCGTGCAAATGCCCGGGGGTAGGGCCAAAAAAAAGGAACAATGCCCCACCCTTGGGACGAAAAACAAAAAAAATGCCCCACCCCCGGGACGACAAATTAGTCAATTTCAAAGAATGTACTAAGTTAATTACATGTGTTTTAACAATTTGTATTTATACCTCTGTTAATTGTTCTTTTGGGAATTTACAAAAAAACAAACAAGGAAAACTATCATGTTCATTTCAGATGAAAACATCGATGAAAGGCTCTGACACACTCGCTTTGATTGCAGAAAGTTTTTCATTGTAAATACAATATATATAATATGGACTGAAGGAAAATCTTAAACATTGATTCACACTTGAAAACCAACATTCAACAATATAATATAAAATTTGTTTAACATATTTAATAGTCGTCCATTTTGGCATACAACAAAGGAACTCGTGGCCGCGGTCTTTTCTCTGCGAGCGACAAATGCCCGGGGGTAATAACCCGATATTGACAAATGCCCGGCCCCCGGATGAACACGCAGCTGCAAATGCCCGGCCGTGGGGACAAGTAAGCGTACAAATGCCCCACACTGTCCCAGAGGGGGGGGGGGGGATGGTCGCAGCTGGAATTGACTGATGCATTATTCTGTTATCACTTAAAGGCTTTCAAAAATTTTGAAGAGGGCGCTTGGTTGTAGCCCTCCCCTGACATATATTGACAAATTTGAATAAATTTTAAAATAAATGTTGCACGTACTTGAGCCAGTAAGTAACAAAGGCAGATCGTGCGAGTTAAGAAGTTCCATGGCTGTTATTCGAGTTGGCTTTGGATTTCCATTCTCAAAATGATTGAGGCGTGTACCATTATCAAAATTCCAAATACTGCAAAGAAAAACGACAAGAATACCAACTTAATGATACACTTCGAGTCTCCAACTCGTGATACAAACAGTTTTACACGTGTGAAAATCTCACATCTTGTAACAAGTCTGCTAACAAGCCTGTCAACAAGTTGTGTTAAATCGTTCAACCAGATTTAAAGAATTAGTGTCAGGGTTGTGCATTGCGGGCTTTTGTTATTGTTTACATTTTACTCAAATACAACAAATAGCGATAAAAATACCTTGTTTGATACATTTCTGATAAAAATCAGACAAAAAGAGCAAGGATTATAAAAGGATGGTTTAAATATATGACGGATTGTAAACACTTTCCAGATCATCTAGTCTATTCGTCCAGAAAAATGGGGCACACAGAATAAGGCACACAGAAGGGCCACTTACGTCGGAAGCTTTGAAGTTTCTGCCACCTTGGCCGCCATCTTGCTAGCCAGTCGATTACATTTTCTGGCCAATAAACGCGCTGTATTGGCTGAAGGCCCCGCCTTCTGGCCAGTCAACTGCATGTTTTTGCATAGAAAAATGGTGACACGTTGCACTGCTGAGTGGCCCTTCTGGTACTGATCTTTATTCTGTGGCCAGGCGCCAGCAGGAGTTTGAGCCCGCGAATTCCTAGCCTGCATGGCAGGCGGTTCCTAAAATTGGGCAAGCCTGGGCAGGCCAGGGGCAGGCTAGCGAATTCCTGGTGTGACACCACTGTGACACCATCACACCAATCCTAATCGCCCTTTAAGCCCTGTTTAAACGCATCCAACATTGTTGGACCAACATCATCCAACATTGTTGAAATAATGGCCCATGAAATAATTTTTTTTGCCAAGACTAGGTTTAGAGTTTGAGTAAAGCTTATCTAACCAAAAAGATTTGAAAGAGAAGCAGTCATATCTATTATAGTAACATTGTTGGATGATGTTGGTCCAACAATGTTGGATCCGTTTAAACAGGCCTTTAAGCTGTAAGGGAATTGCATTCACTTACTTTACTCCAGATTTATCGGCGACAGCTAGGTGGGGTTCGTAAGGATTAAATCGGAGTACACCGGGAGGTGAGGGATTTTTGTTGATAAATATTTGATCATCAAGACGATTGAAGTCTAAAATAAACATATAAAAGTTTATTTGAGTGTCTCAATTTTATTGATAGGGGTGGTCCGAGGTACCTACGATTTAACATCTTCACCCGAGAAGACGTGAAAGTCTTACCATTTACTGATGTCAAAGTAAAGCGTAGCCCTTTCTCTTCAATTATTTTAAGGTTACAGGACACCCTTTTTGGCGTTTTGCGGAAAATCGCTGCTGCGCGCTCAATATCAGTCCGATTTTCATCAAATTTTCACCAAATGTTCGCCAGTGCATGTAAAATATGGTAAAGTTGTAAAATTAACAAACAATAAAATAATGTAAGAATTATTCAGGAAAATCTTAAATCGCGGTACCGTTACGCTTTTGAGTTGTGCTCCTGCCGGTTTTAAGTTACATTTATGAAAATATCATTTTTAAAGAGTAAAATAGTTGTTCTAAAAAATTGTGTTCGGAAATTTTTGTTTATTTCGTCATTCCGCTGATATGGCGATTTCTTTGACGACTGCAATATATTTCTGAATTGTTTGAGTGAATTGCTCTTTATTATTAAAATATCCAAAATTAGAACAAAGCCGAACACAATTTTGAAACTGACGTCTTTAGCTATGTCCTGTGAAAATTTGAGAGAAATTCGTTAAAACCCGCAGGAGCACAACTCGTTTGAAAATCAGTAATTGCCGTAAAATTCTTCGGGAGAAAATTGAATTTGAATATTACATTTTCAATGTTTTTCTTATTGCAGCGAAATGTATTTTATTAAATAACTCTGCGAGTTTTCAACATTTTTCGTTCAAACTTGGTCAGATAGTAGAACTAGTCTAATGCTTTCATGGAAACCAATAAAAAAATTTTAGGCAAAATTAACACTCAAAGGTGTTCTGTAACCTTAAGACCTTGAGTAGAGGTCCGACCATAGATATCTTATATACACTAGATAGTGCATCTAATTATTCTGCAATTCAAAAATTGAAGCCGTGATTGCAGTCTCAGGTCGTTCCCATGAAATTAGAAGATTCGTATGTTTCCTATTTCTTAAACAGGGAACTTAAACATTAAGTTAACCCTATTCCAAATTCATTTTTAAAATATTCAAATGATAAAAGTTATTGTTGTTTTTAAGCGTTTATTAGCAAGTGGGAACGACCAACATGGCCGCCATCTATTCAAATGGGGGTAACCGCTGGAATATTCTTGGCTTCAATTTTACTAAAAGAGATGCGCTATCTAGTGTATATAAGATATCTATGGGTCCGACCAAGGATTGAACCCGGGTCTCCCAGCTTGAAAGGCAAGCCTGGTGACCACGAAAACGCATTATATAACAACTACAGTGAAACACGCAATTTGATTGGTCAATAGCCGTGCAGGATCAGGCTATCCTGCACGAGGAATTGAAACGCCTTCGCGGGATTTTCGCGGGATTTTCAAAATGTCATTGTTTCACTGTAGTTATTTTATAAAACAATTACCAAATGGTTTTCCAAGCAGGATTGCGTGATCCATGCACTTGGGATGTTGCTCGACTTTCGGAAAGCGTAAAAATACACCCGCTTGCGGCTCGAGTATTTTTACGCTTTCCGAAAGTCTCGCGACATCCCTCGTGCATGGATCACGCAATCCTGCACGGAAACCCATTCGGTATTCCTTTAATATTAATGCTGTTTTAATATGCTATAACAGTTGCTGTAATCTAAATCCCTTATCCTATAAATCAAACTTTAATGAGAAAATACAAATTGGTATTGTGAGCATTGCTTACCCTTCTGTTGTTTTTCGGCTTCAAATCTGACTCGAGCATTTCTTGTGAATCTGTTCTCACGTTCAAGGTGCACCTCGCTGAATGGATCGTGCTCATCAGGGGGCTGAAACATATTAATTAAACAACTGGTTAATTAATTAGTTAATCAGTCACACAACCTCTCGCCTTCGGCTCATGGTGTATAATATTACGTATGGTATGGTATGGTATGGCATAATGTGGCATGGTACAATTTGGTATGGTAATGTATCGTATGGTATGATATATTACGGTATAGTAATATAGTATTGTGAGATACTACGCAATAGTATGCTGTCAAATGGTATGGTATACACGCAAAAATTTCACATCTTGTAGCAAGTGTGCCAACAAGCCGTCAACAAGTTGTGTTCGCACTGCTTGTCCCAAGTTGTCAACAAGTTTGGAACAAGCTTGATGGCATTATCAAACTTGTTGCAAGGTTGTTCCAACATGTCTGATATAGTCATGATAATGATATAACAATATTGTTACAACCTTGTCCGTATCAGACTTGTTAGAACAAGCACGATAATGCCATCAAGCTTGTTACAAGTTGTTAACAGCTTGTTCCAAACTTGTTACAACAACTGGGAACAAGCAGTGCGAACACAACTTGTCGACAGCTTGTGAACAGATTTGTAACAACTTGCTTGCTGATCTGCAACAACTTGTGCGTTCTTACGGTAAGGTATGGCAAACATGGCAACCCTCGAAATTCAACTATTTCTGCCTCGGCAAATAATTGCCGAGGTCTTTCGATAATTTTCGAGTTTGCCTCGGCAATGCCTCGGCATTTTTTTTGCCGAGGCACGCAATGAAATCACCTTAAATTCCTTCGGCAATTACTTCGGCACCCTTCGGCATTCACGTCGGCAGTTGTAATTAAAGTAAAGTACATACGGAAATTATTGTGAACAAATATTATAACGAGCATAGATTCTGACGTTTTACAATTTGTTGTTATTTTATAAATTCCTGATTCAAAATGTTTTTATGAAAGAATAAACTTGACGGTAATCACGCGACAATCCAAAAGATAAAACAAAGTTTCTCGACGTGCCGTCTTTAAACCATCAAGTATTCAAGATTATTCTTTATTTCAGCCGAAGCAGACGCTGAAAAGCTCAAATTTTGAATATTTTGTAAAGTAGTTTTTTTATGAATGAAATCTTCTGTTGTTCAGCCGACGTCGATGACAACAATTCGAACAAAGAAGTGATACAAAAAACGAACACTGTAGTTTGTAAATTTAAGTAAAAAAATGAACAGACGCTGTAGTTTGTATATTAAATAATTTAAGGTACAACGGTTGGAATTGCCTCGGCATTTTTTTGCCGAGGCAAACTATGAAAAATCGTAACTTGCCTCGGCATTTGCGTCGGCAATTGCCGAGTGCCGAGGCGAATTTCGAGGGTTGCATGGTGTTGTATTTTATGGCAAATATGGTATTGTATTGTGTGGCATGGTATTATTAATTTCGTACGGTAATGTATTGCATGGTACAATTTGGTATAGTAGGTGTGGTATGGAATTGTATGGCATGACATGAAATGATAATTATGGTATAAAATATGGTATTTTACCTTGGTAACTGACTGAGCAAAATAACTACAACACCAATCACAAAATTTCGTTTCAACAAAAGCAGCTGGTGGATGACTTCCTTCCTCTTCAGATTCGTCTGACTCACTTTCTGGTAACTTGGGTGAAAGAAAACGAATTATTCTTGTTCTATATTCTGTGAATACGTTCTCCCTAGCGTTCCAGTAAGGGGCAATTCCTTATCGGTCTACTGTTACTATACAGCAGGAAATGTTAGCTAGTACCTAACTAAAACTAACTTTATATTTTTGATGGCTGTTTCTGACAGTCAAGAGAACTTGATCATATTATTTGGAGTTAGTTAGCATAAGAAGTTTATTATGTTCATATATTGTATATATTGTTATATTATGTTATTAAAAAAAATATGTATAGTTATTTTTACGGCTGTTTGAAAACATGAATCCCATGCAATATATATTGGCCCTTCGTTATTACCTGCAACCTAATTCAAAACATGCCTCAACCTAGTCCAAACTTTCTGAAAATTGTCGAAAACCATTTCTTTCAGCAAAACAATTATTTTCGACAGATAAAAATATGTTTTGAAAAATTTCACAATTTTGGTCAAATGCAAAATGGGGCCACAGGCAACCATAGGGTTAGCAAAGGGGAGAGCACAGCAAATTGTTTTAAAAATTCAAAAAATGCCTCAACCTACTCCAAACTTTCTGAAAACTGTCCAAAACCATTTCTTACACCAAAACATCTACTTTCGACTGATAAAAACAGGTTTTGAAAAATCTAAAAATTTTGGTCAATCACAAAGGAGAGACTACAGGCAAGCAACCATAGGAATAGCCTGGACTTATGCTGACCTATGCTCTGTGGTTTCTAGTTTGACTTACGTCTGGCCCTTTATCAAACATTCTTCTTTTTGCTCCAAATGCATAGGAATGTGGGAAGTGTGTGAAACCAGTGGCACCCGCAGGCTTTTGTGAGGGGGTGGTGGGAGGTGGTTTTTCTGGACTTTTAACCCCGAGTAAATTTGAGAGATCTTGCATGGGGTTGACAGCAGTGGATCTAGGAAAATGTAAACAATTGTAAAGCCCAGTTTACACTATCAAAGTTTCTGTGATCACAGTAGGAATTTTGCATGGGTAAATATTCAGTCCGGGCTGTTTTCAGTCCAGGCTGTAATTTGACTTAAAAAAAAACTTAAAAGTTTTAAGAGTCAATTTTTTTCAATGTCACGTATTTGCAATGACAAGTGTTCAAAACCTAATATCTTTTTGGCGTTCCTCTCAAAATTACTTTGTTTGTGCTTTATTCTCTAGTTTATAGAGTTAGCAACCCTTTTAAATGCATCTGCCGGTTGAGAAACATAAAATAATAGTTAAAAATTGTCAATTAAAATACAATTATCAATGATGCTTTAAAATTGACGCCATATTTACAGAGAAGCCTCGCAGTGCCTCGGAAGGTTGTCGCCAATTGGATGGGGGTTTTCTAAAGAACGAAGCAATTCATTGTTATGAACACAAAAGCAATTGTCATATCGGGCCAATGTAAATCACTCTTCCGAGTAGCGAGGCTACCCTATTTACAGCCATATAAGCAAAACTTACTGAACTTCAGACATCATTTTCTCTTTGGCGTATCATCTAAAATCTCTTCATTTTAGCATTGTTTTACAGATAAAGAACTAAACATACTTTTTAAGTCTGTTTGCCGATTGAGAAACGTATTGAAAAATAAAAATTTTGAATTTAGTCATAACTCAAGTGGTATATTATAAGCATTAGTTTTGAGCGCGTGTTACGTAACATAAAAAAATCTCCCCTTAAAACATCCCTCATCCCCCCTTTCTTGTCTCCAAACGACGAAGTAGAAATTGATAACTCGTCTTTACCACTGAAAAACAGGCACTCCGGTTCGGATTGGTTGGAAAACACATGCATACTTTGTATATATATATGATAAGTTTTGTCTTTCAAAGAAATGCATGGGTGCTATTACTAACAGTTCATTTTGATAGTTATTGCTTGAAACTTACTCAGACTTTGTGTGGAATGCACTTTGAGACGACGGAGATTCCGCGGCTGATGAACTAGAACGACGTGGACGGCGGTTGACAGAGGCCTACAAATAGAAGTGAACGTCTGTGAAGACTGATATCTCACAACTGGATGTGCAGTGTTGAAGTGGTATTGCTAGAATTCTGTAGTAAACGACCGTGGTTTGCGTGTGAAATCGTTAATTTATCAGCAGACAGTTTCGAAAAATATTAAAAAGAAAACATGCTCCGATAATGAACAGTTTGTCCCATGACTTTGAAATAAAGTCAAAATATTACTTTGAATTTTATGCGTTGTTTTCAATACCGGAAGTTCGTATCTTGAGTTAGACGTTATTATTCGGAGGACAATGGCAACAAATTTTTTTATTGTCTCATTTGAAAGACCGTTTAAAATTATCTATAAATGTTCTTCCAGATTTTTCGTATCAAGCTTAACTCTTGAAATTAGCTGTTCGTTTTGTTACAAATACCTTAAAATTTAGAACGGGGCTTACCTTCAATGTGATAGTATTCACAATTTTCTTAGCGAGGTTAGCGACCGAAGGGGCTGGATCCGATGAGAGAATAAGAAGAATCTAGAAATATTTTTATACAACACCTCAGTGAAACGAGGAAATATTTTTGCTTGTACAAACAATTGAACCTAAAGGCCATGTTACACGGTGCAATTTTTCTTGCGACTTGCAATGCAATTCTACTCTTACATGTAAGAGATGTAAAATTGCCAAATACGAGTCTTCATTACACTCCGCTGCGCTGATGTTTTCTCAACATATCGAAAATTCTTCACTGATTTCACTAATTAACATCTCTCAAGAGTAGAATTTTATTGCAAGTTGCAAGAAAAATTGCACCGTGTAACATGGCCTTAAGAAAAAATCCCAAGAGCGCTGCTTAAGCTCATTGCTTTGGTTTATGTATATATCTGCAGGTACGTTTGTGTATATCAAAACTTTAGAAAATTAAACTTCTGGTTATCCAGACAAGATTTCTGAAAAAAGATTTCTGAAAAAAGATTTCTGAAAAAAGATTTCTGAAAAAAATTTATAAACGACCGTGCTTTGCTTTGCGTTGCTTTGCGAAGCATGCTTTGAATTTCACGTTAACCGAGAGTAAAAAACTAACCGACTTTGGACAACCGGTCCCAGCTAAATTCTATATAACTTGTTGTAAACAGCACTGTGAATTAACTTACTAGCTATTTCGTGCATGTAATAAACCATTATCAGACCTGCAGATAATTCTTTTGTTTGAAAAGGACAAATGTTCGACCAAGGCAAAAATTGGTCAGCTTTTCTCGGACAATGGACAAAGTGAAATTTTCATATCTTTTTGAGAACGATGTATTTCCGCTGGTCATGTTAGTCTGCACTACAATATTGCATCTACACCGAAATATAATATCTACCAGTCCTAATGTATCAGTAAATTAGGGTTTAGGTTATACTTCTATACCATGTTATACGAAGGCGATTTATATTAGTAATTAAATCTTACGGCTTACTACAGGAAGAAATGATTGGAAAGTGATGTTTATCAATCTTTGATTTCATTAGCAAAAATGTGTCAAAAATATTTTTTGCTGATATTGGACATTTGATCAGCCTAAATTGGTCACATGACCGGTCATAAAAAGCTTTGATCGGACAAAAGGAAAAATTTGACCGGACAATGTCCGATGACCGGCACTAATTTGCAGGCCTGATTATTATAATAACATTATTATTATAAATAATAGACTTGAACGTAGATAACCTACCCTCCATACAGCAGAGTAAACATTGGATTGTGGCGACGTGAATGGAGCATGCGATACCACTCGTCTCAGTGGACCATGTTGGGCTGAATCAGGACCACTGTTTCCAACACTACTGCCGAGGACTGGCGATGTTGCCACCTCTAAATAGAAGAAAATCAACGGGATGTATTGTGGCATAGTGCTTAATGTATGTGTGTTTCACATTATTGTAAATGCTACCTGCACTGAAACACGTTCAAATTCAGGTAGTTCAGATACAAATCACACGATAGCTTAGTGTAGATTACCTACACTGGACCACCACGTTTGAGATATCTTTTTCAGGTAGTTCAGACACAAACCACGACAGCTTATTGTAGAATACTACCTAGACTGGACCACCACGTTTGAGATATCTTTTTCAGGTAGTTCAGACACAAACCACGACAGCTTATTGTAGAATACTACCTACACTGGACCACCACGTTTGAGATATCTTTTTCAGGCAGTTCAGACACAAACCACGACAGCTTATTGTAGAATATCACCCTACACTGGACCACCACGTTTGAGATGTCTTTTTCAGGTAGTTCAGATACAAATTACGACAGCTTATTGAAGAATACTACCTACACTGGACCACCACGTTTGAGATGTCTTTTTCAGGTAGTTCAGACACAAACCACGACAGCTTATTGTAGAATATCACCTACACTGGACCACCAAGTCTGAGATATATTTTTCAGGTAGTTCAGACACAAATTACGACAGCTTATTGCAGAAAAAAACAACCTACAGTGAACCACAACGTTTGAGATATCTTTTTCAGGTAATTAATAACCTACACAAGGCCTTCATATTTGAGAAAAATTAATCACAACCACTAAATTATTTCTTACGTGGAGTAACAGACGTCTGCGGCCCAGCTAATGAAGTAAGATTCGGAACAGAACCACGTGACTTCATTCGTTTTGTTTTCGATGTTTGGGGAGAAACGAGCGCCAAGTTTGGAGGCACAGGTATCCCAGGCGTGAGAACAATCCATCCGGTTGACGTCATGGCGGGTTGAGGTTGAGTATCACGGATGCGATCTTCTTCTTCGAGGAACTGTAAGGCGACCACACCAAAGTTGCTTTCAAATTGCGATACCAAACCATACAGTGCCCTCACAACTTCCTGCAAAAGAATGATTTTGTAACTCAGTTGTGTCTTGCAATATATTATTGCAACTAAGATAGTACATACAATAGATAATTCCCATTATAGACCAATTTTTTATCTTGGCAAAAAAGTATATTCCCGAAAAGAGCATGCTAAAATGAGTACAATTGCAAAGCTTGGTTGCGAAATGTTGTAAAATGCGAAAAATATAGCCTTGCAAAGTTCGCAAATTTTGTATACATTTGTATTGCGTGCGGAAATTGCTACCACATTTGGGTCAAAAATTTCATATGAGACAATACAATTTTTGTTGCCATTGCCCTTTAACCAATCAAATGCGTTCAATCTGTCCGACTAACCAATCACATGCACACAGAACTAGTGAGAGGTAGCAATAGTGGAGGTAGAGTCTCATAAAATTTCTTACCCCTCTAACAATAGGACTGCCATCATAAGCCAAGTTTGTAAGCATCATACACACACCAAAATCAACCTGGTTCGCCAAGTCTGTTCTCTCTGCTGTATTGCCAACAAACTGACCCAATGCAAACACAGCTGCAGCACGAACCTGACATTGAAGAAAATTTTGTTAGAATAAGTTTAACCAAGTCAGCGAATTGGGCATTGTGAATTTGCCTGTTGCGGAGACATCTTGTTGACAAGTTGTTGGAACAGCATTGTCACAACTTGTTAACAAGCTTGCTACAAGCCTGTTGAGGAGTCATCTTATTGACAAGTTGTTGGAACAGCATTGTCACAACTTGTTAACAAGTTTGCTACCAGCCTGTTGAGGAGAAATCTTGTTGACAAATTGTTGGAACACAGGAACAGCATTGTCACAACTTGTTAACAAGCTTGCTACAAGCCTGTTGAGGAGACATCTTGTTAACAAGTTGTTAGAACAACATTGTCACCACTTGTTAACAAGCTTGCTACAAGCCTGTTGAGGAGACATCTTATTGACAAGTTGTTGGAACAGCATTGTCACAACTTGTTAACAAGCTTGCTACAAGCATATTTGAGGAGGCGTCTTGTTGACAAGTTGTTGGAACAGCATTGTCACAACTTGTTAACAAGCTTGCTAAAAGCCTGTTGAGGAGACATCTTATTGACAAGTTGTTGGAACAGCATTGTCACAATTTGTTAACAAGCTTGCTACAAGCATGTTTGAGGAGGCGTCTTGTTGACAAGTTGTTGGAACAGCATTGTCACAACTTGTTAACAAGCTTGCTACAAACAGCATTGTCACAAGCCTGTTAAGGAGACATCTTGTTGACAAGTTGTTAGAACAGCATTGTCACAACTTGTTAACAAGCTTGCTACAAGATTGTTGAGGAGACATCTTGTTGACAAGTTGTTGGAACAGCATTGTCACAACTTGTTAACAAGCTTGCTACAAGCATGTTTGAGGAGGCGTCTTGTTGACAAGTTGTTGGAACAGCATTGTCACAACTTGTTAACAAGCTTGCTACAAACCTATTGCAAACACATCATGTTGACAAGTTGTTGGAACAGCATTGTCACAATTTGTTAACAAGCTTGCTACAAGCCTGTTGAGGAGACATCTTGTTGACAAGTTGTTGCATGGCTTCATGGAATAACGTATGCGAGGAAAACAAGGAGACAAGATTCAAGAGAGTATTTCGAATTTATTACAAATTCATAATTGATGAAATTACTGTTGTATCTTGTCTCCTCTATTATAAAAAGGTTGACCACATTTGAGTATTAAATATATACGGTACCTCAGGAAGAGGATCATTGCTCAAAGTTTGGAGTTTCTCGTGAGCCGAGTCTCTAACACCACACCACTTAGCACGACTGTATTTCGTCCACGTTCTTGCAAGACAAAGGGCAAGCCATTGGCGTAACAATGGATGTGGATCGCTGAGCTGTTCCAGACATATTGCGATCAGGTTGCCTTGTAGACATGCCTCCTGAAGAAAGATGAATGACATTAATTAGTAATTACACCCAGTGAACTCAATCTATTTACCACATTGATAAAAGACATGGAGTCAGGGTCTTAGCTAGAGGGTCGTGTTGGCCGTGTTATTGCGGCCAAAAGTGGAAAAACACGGCTAGATAAAATGAAAGCGGCTTCATTATTTATATAAGGACGCGTTGGTTCATACAATAAGGTGGTGCTACTTACAACAGACAGAATTTCGTCCAATTTACGTCGTAAGAAAGTTTGTAAAATCTATACTAACTGCTGTTGTTGAAATTGGCAATGTTTTAATGGATAGTGGGAACTGTATGGTGTTAAAATGGTTTAAATACCCCCACGGGTTGCTGAAATAACTTAATATTCTAATGCAAGTGCGCAATATGAGCGTATGCTCGCCTTGTATTTGGTTGCAAAGCATAGAACAACCACAGGCATTGTCCGTTGTTGGCGAGCATAACTAGAACCGCGAATTTGGCTATTCAAGGTAATTGACATGTGCACACCCTGGTCATTAGAAATACGCCCAAGATCTAAAATCCTAGCTAAGACCCTGTATGGAGTTCACCGATTATAGACCACAAGAATGGGACAGTATTTTAGAATTAAACTTGCCCCCCCCCCCAAAAAAAAAAAAGGAAACCAGCTTTAAATACCTGCCCGTCAAGATAATCTTTAACTATTGTTGCCAATATAAAAGCAGCCATTGTCCTGTGTTCAGGCTAAAAAAAATAGATAGTACAGGAATGACTACAGAGCGAAAATTAGTGCTTAAAATTGAGTGGTGTAGGTAGGGACTTCAGTGAAAGATCTGTGTCAAACTTAAGGGAATACATCAAACAGAGAAAACATGCGCTGTTTGTTAGAATCAAACTGCACGACTGAAGGGAAGTTATAGTCGCGCAACAGCGGGAAAAGTTAGTTCGCGCTGACCTCAGAGTGACAATTTATGAAAACTTTTCTTGTCAAAGTCTTAGAGAAAAAATTATAAAAAATTAAAGATCTTAATAGAGAATATAATCTTCGAAGTAATGATACTGATCTAGCACCTCCAAAACCTAAAACAAACAATCTTAAACGACGTTTTAAGTATAGTGGTGCAATGCTGTGTGGAATAGTCTTCCTTCTGAGGCGAAAGAGGCATCTTCGCTTTACCAATTTAAACGCAGTATATCCACTATATCAGAGACTTAGGATGTGAGTTAAGATAGTTTGTAAGTATAACACGCCCCATCTGAAAATCAACAGATTGTATTTTGCAACTATGTTGTGTATGGCTAGCGTGGCTAAATAAATCTGTAAGTGTATGTAAAGTAGGTTTAGAAACAAAATTGGAGCAGGTTAGGTTAGGTTAGGTTAGAATTAGAGTTGGTGTTTGGAATAGAGTTAGTTTTAGTAAAACCGTTGCTTTGTTACGTTTTGTAACTCTGAGACAAGCGAAATAACCTCTTCCCATAACAGCATATTGTAGGAATCCAATCTCGGAGGTAAAAATAGCAAAAAGAAAAAAGCATTGGCCCAAAGAAATGTTGAATTAAGCAGCTGGAAGACAAAACCATTTTCCCACTCAAGTCTTACCGGCATGTAAGGATCAGCTAAAACTGACAAAAAATAACGATGGCCATTGTCTTTGACTAAATCTGCTTGACACGACTAGAAATAAAACAAAAATCATTATCCACACAGCGATACAGGAATGAACGAACGTGAAAAAATAAATTAAATATTCTCATGACATGTAGTGTCTTGTATTTGGTGGCAAATATGAATGAGAGGGGTACACACATAAAAACGCACAAGTTGTAACAAACCTGCAGCAGACTTGTAGCAATGCTGTTCCAACAACTTGTCAACAGGATGTGTTAGCACTGCTTGTTCCCAGCTTGTTGACAAGTTGTCAACGGCTTGTTAACAACTTGCTACAAGGTTGTTGAGCTCAACAGACTTGTTACAAGCTGTTCCAACATTTTTTTATCGTCCTGCAGTTCAACAATTTGTCAACAAGTTGTGAGTGACAATCTTGTAGCAACTTGATAAAATAACAGCATTGTTACAACTGGTTGACAAGCTTGCTACAAGGTTGTTGCGAACACATCTTGCTGACAAGTTGTGAGATTTTTACGTGTGTAGTAGCTTAATTTGTTTGCGCATTCAAAATTAACACTTCTAAAGATTCTTTCACTCCGACTTTCAGGCCATATTTTCCCTTCCTTAAATGCAGGTGGACGGAAGGAAAAAATAAAGCCTGATACTCAGGCTACCTTGTAACTGAAACCAACCCATTCGCAAACAAGCATGCATCAAAGTTCACAAATATATCTTACATTGTCTACAGCAAGAATTTTGGCCCAGATAAAAACCAGTAACGGACGTAACTCTCTTGCAGAGCTTTGTAAAAGTTTTAAAACGTATGGAAATATACCAACAGAAAGAGCCTGAAAAAAATAACAGACAATACTTTATGCTAATTATTTATGTATTGCGTGATTTAGCTAATAAACTTTCACTTTATGCTAATAATCAGCCCTGTGCGTAATTCATGTTAATTAACTATATGCACAATTTACTTCAATCATTTTTTAACGTTATTTATGCTAAATAATTTATTACTTACTAAATGAACAGCCCAAGGACCAAGGTCCAAAAATCTTCCAAGAAGGTCCAAAGCTCGAAGTCTATGAACTTGACTGAGAAGAACCTACAAAATTATGTGCAATGATATTATTATTTATTTTTATTACTATTGAGTTTTCATCTTGGGCTAACATACAATTACAGTACCTGAAGCACAATGGGCAGTTGCTCTGGTGGGCTTCGTTCCTTCCTACCCATGGCTAGCCACACTTGAAATGCCGTTAGTTGTTGCGAGAAAAACAAACTGTTCTGTTGGAAGATGGACAAATCAACATGTCAACTAAACTTTACATGGTCAGGGTACTTTCTCAACAATTTATGAGATTTGAAAACAGTGTTACCTGAAATATCTTTCCACTCTTAACAACATCGTGGAGCTGAGATAAACACGTGTCTACAGCCAAGTCCCAGGCATGCCTGAAATATTATTTATAAACAAGCTGTCAGGAAGTTTGCTTTGAGGTCTGTAATAAGTTCTTTGTAAGTTTGCATGGCGATAAAACATATAATAGTTTTGTTTGTGGAAACACCACGTAAATTTATTATTGCAAAGCTTATTACATATTATTATATATTATTAGCACTGATGAAGATCCGGGATTACGGATCGAAAGCTTTGCAGTAATAAATTTACGTGGTGTTTCCACAAACAAAACTATTATAAGTTTGCTTTGAATTTTACGTTAACCTAAGGATAAGGTAATCAGCTTTCATAAAATCGATTGAATCGGTGGATAGCGCTATACAACGGATATCCCCCCTGAGAGTACAGTATCCTACTTCTGGATACTGGTTACCATAGGTATTATACCCTGTCCCATCCAATAACTCTCACTGTTACAAATTACAATGAGATTCAACAGTCAACAACTAGATAATTCATTAATACACAAAAATGCGCATAATAATATGAGGAAAGGTTTGGGTGGCAAACTCATAGTATTCAAAAGCTATCAGGAGACTGTCAGAGGTGCTTAACATTTCCCTAATGTTTCAAATTTTCTTAGTATCCAGTTGGGATATAAGTCATTCACAGTTTTACTAGTATCCCAAACCAAATTTCAGTATATCAGTAGACTGTCAGAGGTGCTTAACATTTTCCTAAAGTTTGAAATTTTCTTAGTATCCAGTTGGGATATAAGTCATTCACAGGAATACTGCAAATTTCAACCTCTTACCCCCCCCCCCCAGAACAACCACACTTACCACATGGGATGCTGGTATGTAGGAGGTAGCTGTGGACATGACATGGGCATGCAGTTATAGGATCTCATGATTCTTTCTGCCAGAAGAAAATTACGGAATAAACTAGCAACCAATAAATCTTGCCGGAAAAGCTTTTGAAACAACTCTGAAAGAAAAGGAAAATAGATGTTACAAAGTAAGTACTTGGTGATTGCTCGTGCAGAAAAAAAAACACTGCATTGACATTCCAAACTACGTAGTCACTAGTCAGTTGTAGCTTTGGTTGCGAAAAATGCAACTATTGGCTCTAATTTAATGCGAAAGAACCTTCGTTCAGCCAATCTCGTTCCCAGAGTATTCCCGTTCGCAGGCCAGCACCTAAACCTGCGAACGGGCATACTCTGGGAACATCAGTCAACGAGATTGTTCTTCAGCCCATGAGTTTTGCTTAGATGCTCGCCTTAAACTAAAACATGTTACTGTATATACGATCGGATAATCGTTCGTAAGCATTTTTTATGGACTTATTATAAGTTGAAAAAATTCGTGCAAGGGATTATATTTAAAAAAATTATCGACACTATATACGGGGAGGTGAATAATTAATATACCGTATATATATAGGGGGGTGTGAATATAACAAAACCGAAATTTGCAAAATGGCGGCTAGCCGTTTTGTGGAAGTTACTGATAAAGAAATAAGCGAACTTAAAATAAATTCAGTCCCAAAAAACACAAAAGACTTGTGTAAAAATACTCAAACAATTATTCGCCTCAGGCTCGGTGATTATCAGGGAATATTCACCCCGACTTCGTCTCGGTGAATATTCCCCAATAATCACCTCGCCTTCGGCGAATAATTGTTAATTGTACCTGTATAAAACACGAGAAATAAATCTGGTATTTCCAAGCACCCATGTACTTTTCTGTTTATTTTTATTATATAAAGGCCAGTCTTCGAAAAGCGATAAATTTTTACAGAAAAACAATAATTGAAAAGCGATAATTTTCACATATGAAATTATCATAAATAATCTCACATGTGAGATTAGCCGAATTCATATTAGGGACGGGAAACTCGTCTTAGACGGGAAACTCGTCTGCGAAAACCCGTCTGAGTATGAATTTAGGGACGGGTAAATTCGAATTTAAGACGAGTTTCCCGTCTAGACGAGATTCCCGTCTAACTTTTCCGTCTGTTTAGACGGGTAAGTTAGACGGGAAAGTTCAGACGGGAAACTCGTCTGCGCCCGGATTCATATTAGACGAGTTTCCCGTCTGAGACGAGTTTCCCGTCTAAGACGAGTTTCCCGTCTCTAATATGAATTCGGCTATTGTCAGTTTTATCAGTGCTCGAAATCTCTCTAAAGCACTATACTTTATATAATAAAATACTTTCATTAATGTAATTATCGTCTCTCGTCTGAGCTGCTGTCCATTGGCTTATACATGGAGGGCCTTGTATTCCGGGAGGGGCTTATATTCCGGGAGGGGCTTATATCCGACTCTTCCCCAGTCGTCTCTGTACTAATACACTTTTAATGCGTTAATAAGTTTTCAATGTGTTAATACATTTTTAATGTGTTAATAAATTTTTAATATTTTAATAACTTTTTAATGTGTTAATAAATTTTCAAAGGTAGGTAGGCGCAAATGTAGCAAGAACATGCAGGCGGTGGAAAGCGCGCAGGGGTGGAAGGGTAGGGAGAAACGAGGGGAAGGTGTGAACGTACTTGGTCGTAACCCACTCTCAACATTTCTCGTGGGAGGAAACTCGAGTACCCGAAGAAAACTAACAACATTCGGCAGAGGGTTGACTGATTCTTTTCATATGAATATTTCGAGAATTGAACCCACAATTTCAGAGATGGAAGACGCTTGTTCTGACAACGAAGTACAGCTGGTATCATTATCACAAATTGCCTTGTTATAAACGTTTTAAAATTTGAGTTTTTCTGCAATAGCACTCAGTTGCTTGACAACACTTGCAAGTTGCAACATGTTTCGCGGCTTTAGTTTTCGACTCTTGCATCGAGTCGTTTTCATTTCCTCCTGTCTGATTTTCGCCTGTTTTTATCATGGTGGTGGTTCAGAGCATGACAGGCGAGAATATAAAACAGAACTGAACAAATTAAAAGATGAATTCAAAGGTAAATCCTTGAATGTTGACGTTTCTCTCGAACAAGACGAACGCGTCTCAAACTTGACAGAAAATGCGAGACAAATTGATGGCCGCAAGGCGCGGAAGAAAACTCATCTTTCAAAGATGGTTAGAAAAGGTAAATTTTGAAAATGTGAGAATGTTAGCACTGAACAAGGAGTAATTGTTAACCATAATTTATGCCTCCCATCTTAACGAATAATCTTAAACTATGTAATTACACATGAAGGCATTACTTCCCGCACACGCATTAGTGCTGCATCTCCTGAGCTCCGTTTAGAATATTCACTGTAAATAATTCATCTCGTTGTTGGGTTAATCTGGCTGTGGATAAAGATTCCCTCAGCCGTTTTATTTCAACTTTCAAAATAGAATACACATGCAGGATATGTACCCACATTAAAATGTTCTGAAACGGTTTTGCCGAGATAAAGGTGAGGCCAAGATTACGCCATAACATACAAAGGTAAGAATTAAAACTACAATACATACAGTATATTATACTATGGATACAGACATGGGGAGGAGGTGGGTTACCAAGTTTGTTATAGTCTTCAACAGGTGATGTTTCTTCACGGTAAGATGTACGTGAATGCTTAGAACTTAGCATTGGGCCCGGGGTGTGTTACAAAACCTTTCGCTATCGTTATCTTTTCAGAGTGTGGAAAAAAACCTGAACAGACTTCAAATTGCTCTCAATTTCGCAAAACAGCTCGTGGTATCAAGTTTTTGTTATATATATAGATTCCTTGAGTACCCATAATGTAGAATAATGAAAAACAAATACTCGAACTCAAATTATGTAAACCAGGGGGCCAAGGGGGCGTTTCTTTTCCAACAAACTAAAAATGGCTTGCGCACGAAATTTAAAAGGTTTAATAATATTTTGAGTTAATGGATGGAAAATTTGTTGGGTTTTTAATTACTGTACAAAATTTCAGCCATTCGCATGCTTAATTAATGCCTTTACCTAATTTGCATATTACTGGCATATCTGGCATGCTTAATTAATGCCTTTACCTAATTTGCATATGGCTGGCATATGCAAATTAGGCAAAGGCATTAATTCAGGATGCAAACGGCTGATTTTTTTAGGAAAAAAACGTATAAGTTTGCGGGAATAGTTAAAGGGCTTACACTGAAAAAAATTGTCTGAAATTTCGTGACACAAGTAAACACCCAACACATTTTCACCCATTAACTCAAAATACGATTAAAGCTTTTAAATCTCGTGCGCAAGTCATTTTTAGTTTGTTGGAAAAGAACAAAAACACTCCCCTGGTTTACAAAATTGGAATCCGGATGTTGTTTCGCACCTTCCAAACTTTCTTGAATTGAAATTCCTATTTGCAAACAAACATTTTCTTTATTTCCAGGAAATATGATGAAAACACTCCAAAATAAAAGAATACAAAACAGCCCAGTACTACCTTTTTCAACTCCATCGTCGTCTGACGTAAACGTTTCACGCAAAGAATCGACAACCATCTCCCACTCAAATGAGACAGAATGGCAAAATGATCGCAGTAAAAACATATCTTCATTGGATAATCAAATTTTTCACCAGAATAACTTGAGAGAAACAGCCAAAAGAGAAACGTCCTCTTCACTCACAACTCAACATCTCCGAACCAGACGTGAAATTGATTCGAAATCTGAGTATACTCAGGAAGATCTATTAATGTGCAATGATTCAATCATCAATATAAAATACGATGGTGAATACAAAGTTCGGACTGACTTTTCAATATTCTTTAAGAACAAGGTGTACGATTATACTGAATATCGAGTTCTGAATGATGGCATAAAGATTTGTAACTCCACTGACAACTACGTAAGGAATATTTGGAAAGTACGCAATAAATGGGTAACAGCGAGAATGCATCAGAAAAGTTGCAATAAACCCATCAGAGAGTCTTGGTTTTACCGAAAGTATTACACTCTGAATAAGCAGTTCACTATCTATCTCACACGTAGGAGTCAATATTTCACAAGAAATGACTATGGGGTGGAAGACGGTAAACTTTATATATGCGATGAAAAGTTCAAATCCGAATCAACAGAGTATACCCAGGAAGATCTACTAATGTGCAACGATTCATTCATCAATATAAAATACGATGATGAATACAAAGTTGGGACTGACTTTTCAATACTCTATAAGAACAAGGTGTACGATTATACCGAGTATCAAGTTCTAAATGATAACATAAAGATATGTAACTCCACAGATAACTACGTAAAGAATATTTGGAAAGTACGCAATAACTGGGTAAAGGCGAGAATGCATCAGAAAAGTTGCAATAAACCCATTAGAGAGTCTTGGTTGTACCAAAAGTATTACAGTGTGAATAAGCAGTTCACTGTCTATTTGGAACGTCGTGGTCAATATTTCACAAGAAATGACTATGGGGTAAAAGATGGCCAACTTTATATATGTGAAGAAAAGTTCAGACCAACATCAGCAGAGTATACTCAGGAAGATCTATTAATGTGCAATGATTCAATCATCAATATAAAATACGATGATGAATACAAAGTTTGGACTGACTTTTCAATACTCTATAAGAACAAGGTGTACGATTATACGGAGTATCGAGTTCTGAATGACAACATAAAGATTTGTAACTCCACCGATAACTACGTAGGGAATATTTGGAAAGTACGCAATAAATGGGTAAAGTTGACAATGCATCAAAAAAGTTGCAATAAACCCATTAGAACCTTTTGGTTGAACCGAAAGTATTACACTGTGAATAAGCAGCTCACTGTCTATGACGCACCAAAGAGTCAAAATTTCACAAGAAAAAACTATGGGGTGCACGACGGCATACCTTATATATGCCAAGAAAAGTTCAAACCCACATCAACAGAGTATACCCAGGAATGTCTGTTAATGTGCAACGATTCAATCATCAATATAAAATACGATGATAAATACAAAGTTCGGACTTACTTTTCAATACTCTATAAGAACAAGGTGTACGATTATACTGAGTATCGAGTTCTCAATGATAGCATAAAGATTTGTAACTCCACTGATAACTACGTAAAGAATATTTGGAAAGTACGCAATAAATGGGTAAAGGCCACATTGCATGAAAAAAGTTGCAATAAACCCATTACAAACATTTGGTTGTACCGAGAGTATTACGCTGTGAATAAGCAGTTCACTGTCTATGACGCACCTGCGAGTCAATATTTCACAAGAAATGAGTATGGAGTGAAAGACGGTAAACCTACTATATGCAAAGAAAAGTTCAAACCCACATCAACAAAGTATACCCAGGAAGATCTGTTAATGTGCAACGATTCAATCATGACTATAAAATACGATGATGAAAACAAAGTTCGGACTGACTTTTCAATACTCTATAAGAACAAGGTGTACAATTATACTGAGTATCGAGTTCTGAATGATGGCATAAAGATTTGTAACTCCACTGATAACTACGTAAGGAATATTTCGAAAGTACGCAATAAATGGCTAGAGGCAACAAGGCATGAAAAAAGTTGCAATAAACCCATTAGGGCCTTTTGGCTTTCCCGAAAGTATTACACAGTGAATAAGCAGTTCACGGTCTATTTCGTGGCTACGAGTCAATATTTCACAAAAAATGACTATGGGGTGACAGACGGCAGACTAAGGATATGCCAAGAAAAGTTAAGATCCACATCAAGAGAGTATACCCAGGAAGATCTATTAATGTGCAACAATTCAATCATGAATATAAAACACGATGATGAATACAAAGTTCGGACTGACTTTTCAATATTTTATAAGAACATGGTATTCAATTATACTGAATATCGAGTTCTGAATGATGGCATAAAGATTTGTAACTCCATTGATAACTACGTAAAGAATATTTGGAAAGTACGCAATAAATGGGTAAAGGGGAGAATGCATGAAAAAAGTTGCAATAAACCAATTACAACCTTTTGGTTGAACCGAAAGTATTACACTGTGAATAAGCAGTTCACTGTCTATTTTGCAGCTACGAATCAATATTTCACAAGAAATGACTATGGGGTGAAAGACGGCCTACTTTATATATGCCAAGAAAAGTTCAAACCCACATCAACAGAGTATACCCAGGAAGATCTATTAATGTGCAACGATTCAATCATCAATATAAAACACGATGATGAATACAAAGTTCGGACTGACTTTTCAATACTCTATAAGAACAAGGTGTACGATTATACTGAGTATCGAGTTCTGAATGATGGCATAAAGACTTGTAACTCCACTGATAACTACGTCAGGAATATTTGGAAAGTACGCAATAAATGGGTAAAGGCAAGAATACATGAAAAAAGTTGCAATAAACCAATTAGAATCTTTTGGTTGAACCGAAAGTATTACACTGTGAACAAGCAGTTCACTGTCTATGACGCACCTGCGAGTCAAAATTTCACAAGAAATGACTATGGGGTGCACGACGGTAGACCTTATATATGCCAAGAAAAATTCAAACCCACATCAACAGAGTATACCCAGGAAGATCTATTAATGTGCAACGATTTAATCATCAATATAAAATACGATGATGAATACAAAGTTCGGACTGACTTTTCAATACTCTATAAGAACAAGGTGTACAATTATACTGAGTATCGAGTTCTGAATGATGGCATAAAGATTTGTAACTCCACTGATAACTACGTAAGGAATATTTGGAAAGTACGCAATAAATGGGTAAAGTTGACGATGCATGAAAAAAGTTGCAATAAACCAATTAGAACCTTTTGGTTGTACCGAAAGTATTACGCTGTGAATAAGGAGTTCACTGTCTATGACGCACCAAAGAGTCAATATTTAACAAGAAATGACTACGGGGTGGACGACCCTAAACCTTACATCTGCCAAGAAAAGTTAAGATCCACATCAACAGAGTATACCCAGGAAGATCTATTAATGTGCAACGATTCAATCATCAATATAAAATACGATGATGAATACAAAGTTTGGACTGACTTTTCAATACTCTATAAGAACAAGTTGTACGATTATACTGAGTATCGAGTTCTGAATGATAGCATAAAGATTTGTAACTCCACTGATAACTACATAAGGAATATTTGGAAAATACGCAATAAGTGGGTGAAGGAGACGATGCATGAAAAACGTTGCAGTAAACCCATTAGAACCTTTTGGTTTTCCCGAAAGTATTACACTGTGAATAAGAAGTTCACTGTCTATCTGGCGGGTAGGAGTCAATATTTCACACGAAATGACTATGGGGTGATAAACGGTAGACCTTATATATGCAAAGAAAAGTTCAAACCCACATCAACAGAGTATACCCAGGAAGATCTATTAATATGCAACGATTCAATCATCAATATAAAATACGATGATGAATACAAAGTTCGGACAGACTTTTCAATACTCTATAAAAACAAGGTGTACGATTTTTCAGAGTATCGAGTTCTGAATGATGGCATAAAGATTTGTAACTCCACGGATAACTACGTAAGGAATATTTGGAGAGTACGCAATACATGGGTGAAGGCGGGAATATATGAAAAAAGTTGTAATAAACCCATTACATACATTCAGTTCGACCGATGGGAATACACTGTGCTTCAGAATTTAGGAATTCTGATTTTGGCAACAAAGCAGCAGATAACAAAGTACAATTATGCTGTATATAAAGGTAAACTTATAGCATGTGTGACCGAATGCGCCAATTTTACCTTTACTATAAAGTATGAAAATGAATACAGAGTATGGAACAATTTCTCAATGATGTACCAAGGTCAAATGTACTCTTATGATGAGTACAGAATAACGGACGATGGTCTACAAGTTTGTAATTCTTCTGACCGTCTCATTAAAGAAAAATGGCGGAATTTCATTGTTTCGGCAAAGATAACGACAGCTTTTAAACATTGTAATGTATCTGTGGACGGTTTTTACTCCGAAAATTACACATTACATACAAACTTTACTGTTTTCTTCAAACCTACCAATCAAAATTTCACAAGGCAAGATTACGGAGTGATTATGGGGTATTTTGCAATTTGTTCAAGAAAGCTCCGATTGTCCTGCAATGATGATTTGGTCAAAGTAAAGTACGGTGAACAATACAATGTTTTTAAAAACTTTTCGCTGGTTTCCAACGGGAAGATGTACGATTATCGCGAATATCGATTAAGCCACGACAGTCTTGAAATGTGTGGTTCCAATGATTCAAGAGTTCAGGCGATTTGGAGAACGCGAAATTCGTGGCAAAAGTCATTACCCGCATCCTGTTATCGTTCTTACAAATTAAATGCAAGATACTACACTATGACAAAGCAGTTTGCTGTGTATTCGGCTGATAACGGTCAATATTTCAAAAGAAATGACTATGCGGTGCTAGACGGTAAACCTTATGTATGCGGCAAAGAAAACTTAAGTCCTATTTACGTAATTACAAACTTTAAGATTATTATACCACCGTTATGTGCTTTAGCGCTTTCTATTATTTCTTTGCTATTGTTGTTGATAGTTTACTGCATGCTTCCAGAACTGCGCACACTTCCTGGTTTGAATTTAATGAGTTTTAGTTTCGCCTTGCTGTTGTGGCAGATTTACCTTGTAGTATTTTTGTCACTGTATTCTCGTGTAGGTAAACTGTTTAAGATACCGTGTGCTAGGTTGTTTGTAGCAAACAAGTTTATGACGTATAGTATAATTATGAATGCTGCTGTTAATATCCATCACTTAAGAAACAGATTTTGTGGGAATACTGTAGTGAAATCTGATGAACTGAAGAAATGGAACAGATTTTTGAAGTATAGTTTCTTTAGCTGGGGAGTTCCTGTTATTATAACGATTGTTTACATTGTGCTAGCAAAGGAAGATGTTCTAAGGTTTGATCAAAATATAGCGTCTATGTCTATAAAGAACGATGTTCAATCGAGCTTAAGATTTTATCGACGCAATGCGAATGGAGATGCGACGGCAAATAATATAGGGATTTATCACCGTATTGCCTCCTTGAGGGGAAATGCCCTGCAGTCAAAGTGGAGGTTTAATCAAAGGACTGACACTGTACTTGAAGATGCCCAGACGAGATTAAATCAAAGCACTGACACTGTACTTGAAGATGCCCAGACGAGGTTAAATCAAGGCACTGTACTTGGGAAAGAAGATGCGACGGAAGATGATGCAAGGATTTATCAACGTATTGTATCTTTGAAGAAAGATGTTCAGTCAAGCTTAAAGTTTTATGAACGCATTGTATTTGCGAATGGAGATGGGAAGGAAGATGATGCAAGGATTTATCAACAGATCTCTGGAGATTGTATCAACGGTCGAATTACTCCCGATTGGTCAGCAAATGTTGATGTATACTGCCTTCAAGGTTGTCTTTTGTTGTATATTATTGGAATGTTCATCCTCACTGCTCATCGAATTCGCCAAAAACTCAAGGCAAGCAGGAACATTGCACAGAAATCGAATATTGTTAAACGACGTAAATTTGTCATATTGCTCAAACTTTCAACCACTACAGCCTTAAGTTATTGGTTTCCTCTCTTCATATCTAGAATCGTGGATTTTGATTTCGTCATAAAGATAGCGTTGTATACTGTAACGTTGCTTACTGGTGCCTACATTGGTATTGCGTTTGTCTTCACACGAAGAAATTATCAGTTGTTGAAGAAAAAATATTTCCCAGCAAAGAATAAGCCGCCAGTTAACGAAATTCCGCTGAATAGACTATAGGAGTATAGAATCTGTAATCACGTGCACTTGCAAAATGTCTTCTATCCAATGTAAAAACACTTATAGTACAATACTATCAATTTAAAATGTATGCACACAATGTGTTTAAGACCGTTGTAGTATAATAAAGTAAATAAAACGCCTGGTATGTGTCTGTCCTTACGCTAACAGTCCCCAATCCACCCCTAGGAAATCATAGCATGGAGATATTTGGTGCAACGATTCAATCATCAATATAAAATACGATGATGAATTCACATTGGTATCACATTTCATTTGGGAAGCAAGCCAAAATCCTAGATCTTTAGCTTCACTAGACGCTGCGAAATAAGAATCACCAATACATGACTTTTTCGAGCTGCTGTCGTGTACCAATAATAAAAAAATCAGTCTTACCGTCGTTAAGTTTGAGTTTATCATTTAGCATCCATGTTTTAATATCATCAATACAATTTTCCATGACAGTAACCGCAGACAGTTGTCCAGACATTGAATCTGGTTGGAATGAAACGTACAGTTGATTGTCATCGGCGAAAGCATGGGCATCAGGTAAGTGACTTTCCAAAATCTGGAATAATTTGGACACGTATAAAACAAACAGAAGTGGGCCAAGACACGATCCTTGAGGTACGCCATTTTTGAGTTCAAAACGCTTAGATGTACCACCATTACAGAGATTACTTGCGAACGGTTAGAAAGATAGGAGATAAACCATTTTTGTACTTGGTCTTGGATGCCAAAACTGGATTTCGGTCGTTCGAGCATTATATGATGGCCGACAGTGTCAAATGCAGCGCTCAGATTCAAAATTACGAGTAAGGTAACATGCTGACGGTTCATGTTCATTAAAATATCATGCTTAACACGTAGTAAGGCCGTCTCCGTACTATGATACTTGCGATAGGCCGATTGTGCCTTTGGATAAAGTTGGTATAAATTCAAGTAATCATTTGTCTGATTAAAGATAATGACTGATATTCACTGAGAGGCGAATTTAAATTTCCATTCAGAATACTCAAACGATTGTCGTTCGTCACCGGCAATTTTAGTAACCAAAATATTTTCTTTAAATAATAATCCAGTACCACTTCCTCGGCGCTTGAGGCGAGGTTCGTCAAAAAACTTATAGCTTGATGGAGTAGATAGGGTCTTAACAGCAGATTCTTGATCCGTAAACCATGTCTCAGTGACCGCGACAAGGTCAGGTGTGTGCTCACATATAAAGTCAGTAAACTGAGCTGACTTATTGTTCAGAGACTGAGCATTTAAGAGACAAAATTTTACACCATTATTACTTAGCGAAGCGTCTTGTAATGGTTCTTCTGGACTAATGTGGATAAGATTGTGTGGATTACTCCATAATTATTATTAACACATGATAAAACAAGTTGGTTAACATATTATAATGCCTTAATTAATGTAATTATCGTCACTCGTCTGAGTTGCTGTCCATTGGCTTATACACGGAGGGGCTTATATTCGGGGAGGGGCTTATATCTGACTCTTCTCCAGTCGTCTCTGTGTTAATAAATTTTTAATGTGTTAATAAATTTTTAATGTGTTAATAAATTTTTAATGTGTTAATAAATTGTCTCGTCTATGTCTATATGTGTTAGGTCGGTAAAATCCTTTCGAATATCACACCAACTATTTGTAACTATACCTATTCTAAAAATCTATATTTACAACAATATTTACTGTTATTAAAAAGAATTGCTTAAATTATTTCTAAACTGGAGGGGATTCTCTGAGCTCACAATTTCTTTCAAGGGCAAATGTAGCAAGGACATGCAGGCGGTGGAAAGCGCGCGCAGGGGTGGAAGGGAAGGGAGAAACGAGGGGAAGGTGTGAACGTACTTGGTCGTAACCCACTCTCAACATTTCTCGTGGGAGGAAACTCGAGTACCCGAAGAAAACTAACAACATTCGGCAGAGGGTTGACTGATTCTTTTCATATGAATATTTCGAGAATTGAACCCACAATTTCAGAGATGGAAGACGCTTGCTCTGACAACGAAGTACAGCTGGTATCATTATCGCAAATTGCCTGCTCATAAACCTTTTAAAATTTGAGTTTTTCTGCAATAGCACTCAGTTGCTTGACAACACTTGCAAGTTGCAACATGTTTCGTGGCTTTAGTTTTCGACTCTTATATCGAGTCGTTTTCTTTTCCTTCTGTCTGATTTTCGCCTGTTTTCATCATGGCGGTGGTCCAGAGTACGACAGGCGAGAAGATAAAACAGAACCGAACAAATTTAAAAATGAATTCAAAGGCAAATCCTTGAATGTTGACGTTTCTCTCGAACAAGACGAACGCGTCTCTAACTTGACAGAAAATGCGAAACAAATTGATGGCCGCAAGGCGCGGAAGAAAACTCATCTTTCAAAGATGGTTAGAAAAGGTAAATTTTGAAAATGTGAGAATGTTAGCACTGAACAAGGAGTAATTGTTAACCATAATTTATGCCTCCCATCTTAACGAATGATTCCAAACTATGTAATTATACATGAAGGCATTACATCCCACACACGCATTATCGGCTTGAGTGTTGCAACTCCTGAGCTCCGTTTACTGGGCAGTGTTCTAAATAAAACACTGTCAATAATTCATCTCGTTGTTGGGTTAATTTGGCTGGGGGTAAAGATTCCCCCAGCCGCTTTTTTTGAACTTTCAAAAAAGAATACACAGGATATGTATCCACATTAAAATGTTCTGAAACAGTTTCCCCGGTAAAGGTGAGGGGAACATTACGCCATAACATATACAAAAGCTAGAATTAAAACTATAATACATATATGAATGCAGACATGGAGAGGAGGAGGTGGGTTATGAAGTTTGTTATACTCTTCACCAGGTGATGTTCCTCCACGGTAAGCTGTACGTGAATTCTATATAGAACTTAGCAGTGGGGTGTGTTACAAAACCTTTCGTAACCGTTATCTTTTCAGGGTGTAGAAAAAAAACTGAACACATTTGTGAAATTGGTCTCAATTTCGCAAAACAGCTCGTGGTATCAAGTTTTTTGTTATATATAGATTCCTGGAGTACCCATAATGTAGAATAAGGAAAAAAATTCTCGAGCTCAAATTATGTAAACCAGGGGGGGTGTTTCTTTTTCAACAAACTAAAAATGGCTTGCGCACGAAATTTAAAAGTTTAATCATATTTTGAGTTGATGGATGGAAAATTAGTTGGGTTTTTAATTACTGTACAAATTTTCAGCCATTCGCATGCTTAATTAATGTCTTTACCTAATTTGCATATTGCTGGCATATGCAAATTAGGCAAATGCATTAATTCAGCATGCAAAAGGCTGATTTTTTTAGGAAAAATGTAAGTTTGCGTCAATAGTTAAAGGGCTTAAATTGAAGCAAATTGTCTGAAACTTTGTACAGTAATTAAACACCCAACACATTTTTCACCCATTAATTCAAAATACGATTAAAGCTTTTAAATCTCGTGCGCAAGCCATTTTTAGTTTGTTGGAAAAAACAAAAGGCACTCCCCTGGTTTACAAAATTGGAATCGGGATGTTGTTTCGCACCTTCCGAACTTTCTTGAATTGAAATTCCTATTTGCAAACAACATTTTCTTTATTTCCAGGAAATACGATGAAAACACTCCAAAATAAAAGAATACAAAACAGCCCAGTACTACCTTTTTCAACTCCATCGCCGTCTGAGGTGAACGTTTCACGCAAAGAATCCACAACCATCTCCCACTCAAATGAGACAGAATGGCAAAACAAACGCAGTAAAAACATATCTTCATTGGATAATCAAATTTTTCACCAGAATAACTTGAGAGAAACAGCCAAAAGAGAAACGTCCTCTTCACTCACAACTCAACATCTCCGAAGCAGACGTGAAATTGATTCGAAATCTGAGTATACTCAGGAAGATCTATTAATATGCAATGATTCAATCATCAATATAAAATACGATGATGAATACAAAGTTCGAACTGACTTTTCAATATTCTTTAAGAACAAGGTGTACGATTATTCTGAATATCGAGTTCTGAATGATGGCCTAAAGATTTGTAATTCCACTGATAACTACGTAAGGAATATTTGGAAAGTACGCAATAAATGGGTAAAGGCGAGAATGCATGAGAAAAGTTGCAATAAACCCATTAGAGAGTCTTGGTTTTACCGAACGTATTACAGTGTGAATAAGCAGTTCACTGTCTATCTCACACGTAGGAGTCAATATTTCACAAGAAATGACTATGGGGTAAAAGACGGTAAACTTTATATATGCGATGAAAAGTTCAAACCCGAATCAACAGAGTATACCCAGGAAGATCTATTAATGTGCAACGATTCGATCATCAATATAAACTACAATGATGAATACAAAGTTGGCACTGACTTTTCAATACTCTATAAGAACAAGGTGTACGATTATACTGAGTATCGAGTTCTAAATGATAGCATAAAGATTTGCAACTCCACTGATAACTACGTAAGGAATATTTGGAAACTACGCAATAAATGGGTAAAAGCGAGAATGCCTCAAAAAAGTTGCAATAAACCCATTAGAGAGTCTTGGCTTTACCGAAGCTATTACAGTGTGAATAAGCAGTTCACTGTGTACTTGGAACGTCGTGGTCAATATTTCACAAGAAATGACTATGCGGTGAAATACGCTCAACTTTATATATGCGAAGAAAAGTTAAAATCCATATCAACAGAGTATACCCAGGAAGATCTATTAATGTGCAACGAGTTAATCATCAATATAAAATACGATGATGAATTCAAACTTCGGACTGACTTTTCAATACTCTATAAGAACAAGGTGTACGATTATACTGAGTATCGAGTTCTGAATGATGGCATAAAGATTTGTAACTCCACTGATAACTACGCAAAGAATATTTGGAAAGCACGCAATAAATGGGTAAAGGCGAGAATGCATCAGAAAAGTTGCAATAAACCCATTAGAGAGTCTTGGTTGTACCAAAGCTATTACACTGTGAATAAGCAGTTCACTGTGTATTTGGAACGTCGTGGTCAATATTTCACAAGAAATGACTATGGGGTGAAATACGCTCAACTTTATATATGCGAAGAAAAGTTAAGATCCATATCAATAGAGTATACCCAGGAAGATCTATTAATGTGCAACCATTCAATCGTCAATATAAAATACGATGATGAATACAAAGTTCGGACTGACTTTTCAATACTCTATAAGAACAAGGTGTACGATTATACTGAGCATCGAGTTCTGAATGATACCATAAAGATTTGCAACTCCACTGACAACTACGTAAAGAATATTTGGAAAGTACGTAATAAGTGGGTAAAGGCGAGAATGCATCAGAAAAGTTGCAATAAACCCATTAGAGAGTCTTGGTTGTACCAAAGCTATTACACTGTGAATAAGCAATTCACTGTGTATTTGGAACGTCGTGGTCAATATTTCACAAGAAATGACTATGGGGTGAAAGACGGCCAACTTTATATATGTGAAGAAAAGTTGAAACCCGAATCAACAGAGTATACCCAGGAAGATCTATTAGTGTGCAATGATTCAATCATCAATATCAAATACGATGATGAATACAAAGTTTGGACTGACTTTTCAATACTCTATAAGACCAAGGTGTACAATTATACTGAGTATCGAGTTCTGAATGATGGCATACAGATTTGTAACTCCACTGATAAATACGTAAGGAATATTTGGAAAGTACGCAATAAATGGGTAAAGTTGACAATGCATCAAAAAAGTTGCAATAAACCCATTACAACCTTTTGGTTGAACCGAAAGTATTACACTGTGCATAAGCAGTTCACTCTCTATGACGCATCAAAGAGTCAAAATTTCACAAGAAATAGCTATGGGGTGCACGACGGTATACCTTATATATGCCAAGAAAAGTTCAAACCCACATCAACAGAGTATACCCAGGAAGATCTGTTAATGTGCACTGATTCAATCATCAATATAAAATACGATGATGAATACAAAGTTCGGACTGACTTTTCAATACTCTATAGGAACAAGGTGCAAAATTATACTGAGTATCGAGTTTTGAATGATGGCATAAAGATTTGTAACTCCACTGATAGCTACGAACGGAATATTTGGAAAGTACGCAATAAATGGGTAAAGGGGACAATGCATGAAAAAAGTTGCAATAAACCCATTACAAACATTTGGTTGTACCGAGAGTATTATATTGTGAATAAGCAGTTCACTGTCTATGACGCACCTGCGAGTCAATACTTCACAATAAATGACTATGGGGTGAAAGACGGTAGACCTTATATATGCCAAGAAAAGTTCAAACCCACATCAAGAGAGTATACCCAGAAAGATCTATTAATGTGCAACGATTCAATCGTCAATATAAAACACGATGATGAATACAAAGTTCGGACTGATTTTTCAATATTTTATAAGAACATGGTGTACAATTATACTGAGTATCGAGTTCTGAATGATGGCATAAAGATTTGTAACTCCATTGATAACTACGTAAAGAATATTTGGAAAGTACGCAATAAATGGCTAGAGGCGAGAATGCATGAAAAAAGTTGCAATAAACCCATTAGAACCTCTCGGTTGCACCGAAAGAATTACGCTGTGAATAAGGAGTTCACTGTCTATGACGCACCAAAGAGTCAATATTTCACAAGAAATGACTATGGCGTGACAGACGGTAGACCTTATATATGCAAAGAAAAGTTAAGATCCACATCAAGACAGTATACCCAGGAAGATCTATTAATGTGCAACGATTCAATCATCAATATAAAATACGATGATGAATACAAAGTTGGAACTGACTTTTCAATATTCTATAAGAACAAGGTGTACAATTATACTGAGTATCGAGTTATGAATGATAGCATAAAGATTTGCAACTCCACTGATAACAACGTAAGGAATATTTGGCAAGTACGCAATAAATGGCTAATGGCGACAGGGCATGAAAAAAATTGCAACAAATCCAAATTCATTTTGTTTTCTCGAAAGTATTACAGTGTGAATAAGCAGTTCACTGTCTATTTGGGACGTAGTGGTCAATATTTCGCAAGAAATGACTATGGGGTGAAAGACGGCCAACTTGATATATGCCAAGAAAAGTTCAAACCCGAATCAACAGAGTATACCCAGGAAGATCTATTGATGTGCAATGATTCAATCATCAATAATATAAAATACGATGATGAATACAAAGTTCGGACTGACTTTTCAATACTCTATAAGAACAAGGTGTACGATTATACTGAGTATCGAGTTCTGAATGATAGCATAAAGATTTGTAACTCCACCGATAGCTATGTAAGGAATATTTGGAAAGTACGCAATAAGTGGGTAAAGTTGACAATGCATCAAAAAAGTTGCAATAAACCCATTAGAACCGTTTGGTTGTACCGAAAGTATTACATTGTGAATAAGCAGTTCACTCTCTATGACGCAGGTACGAGTCAAAAGTTCACAAGAAATGACTATGGGGTGCACGACGGTAAACCTTATATTTGCCAAGAAAAGTTCAGACCCACATCAACAGAGTATATCCAGGAAGATATATTAATGTGCAATGATTCAATCATAAATATAAATTACGATGATAAATACAAAGTTCGGACTGACTTTTCAATACTCTATAAGAACAAGGTGTACGGTTATACTGAGTATCGAGTTCTGAATGATGGCGTAAAGATTTGTAACTCCATTGATAACTACGTAAGGAATATTTGGAAAATACGCAATAAATGGCTAGAGGCGAGAATGCATGAAAAAAGTTGTAATGAACCCATTAGAACCTTTTGGTTGCACCGAAAGTATTACATTGTGAATAAGCAGTTCATTGTCTATGACGCACCAAAGAGTCAATATTTCACAAGAAATGACTATGGGGTAGACGACGGTAAACCTTATATATGCAAAGAAAAGTTAAGATCCACATCAACTGAGTATACCCAGGAAGATCTATTGATGTGCAACGATTCAATTATCAATATAAAATGCGATGACGACTATGAAGTTCGGACTGACTTTTCAATACTCTATAAGAACAAGGTGTATAATTATACTGAGTACCGTGTTCTGAATGATAGCATAAAGATTTGCAACTCCACTGATAAATACGTAAGGAATATTTGCAAAGCACGCAATAAATGGGTGAAGGAGACAATGCATGAAAAAAGTTGCAGTAAACCCATTAAAACCTTTTGGTTTAACCGAAAGTATTACACTGTGAATAAGCAGTTCACTGTCTATCTCGCAGCTAGGAGTCAATATTTCACGGGAAATGACTATGGGGTGATAGACGGTAGACCTTATATATGCAAAGAAAAGTTCAAACCCACATCAACAGAGTATACCCATGAAGATCTATTATTGTGCAACGATTCAATCATCAATATAAAATACGATGATGAATACAAAGTCCGTACTGACTTTTCAATACTCTACAAGAACAAGGTATACGATTTTTCAGAGTATCGTGTTCTGAATGATGGCATAAAGATTTGTAACTGCACTGATAACTACGTACGGAATATTTGGAAACTACGTAATGACTGGGTAAAGGGGACAATTAATAGAAAAAGTTGCAATAAGCCCATTACATATATTCAGTTCGACCGATGGGAATACACTGTGCTTCAGAATTTTGGAATTCTGATTTCGGCAACAAAGCAGCTGATAACAAAGTACGATTATGCTGTGTTTGAAGGTAAACTTATAATATGTGTGACCGAATGCGCCAATTTTACCTTTACTATAAAGCATGAAAATGAATACAGAGTATGGAACAATTTCTCAATGATGTACCAAGGTCGAATGTACTCTTATGATGAGTACAGAATAACGGACGATGGTCTACAAGTTTGTAATTCTTCTGACCGTCTCATTAAAGAAAAATGGCGGAATTTCATTGTTTCGGAAAAGATAACGACAGCTTTCAAACATTGTAATGTATCTGTGGACGGTTTTTACTCCGAAAATTACACATTAGATACAAACTTTACTGTTCTCTTCAAACCTACCAATCAAAATTTCACAAGGCAAGATTACGGAGTGATTATGGAGAATTTTGCAATTTGTTCAAGAAGGCTCCGATTGTCATGCAATGATGATTTGGTCAAAGTAAAGTACGATGAACAATACAATGTGTTTAAAAACTTTTCGCTGGTTTCCAACAAGAAGATGTACGATTATCGCGAATATCGATTAAGCCACGACAGCCTTGAAATGTGTGATTCCAATGATTCAAGAGTTCAGGCGATTTGGAGAACGCGGAATTCGTGGCAAAAGTCATTACCCGCATCATGTTATCGTTCTTATAAATTAAATGCAAGATACTACACTGTGACAAAGCAGTTTGCTGTGTATTCGGCAGATAACGGTCAATATTTCAAAAGAAATGACTATGCGGTGCTAGACGGTAAACCTTATGTATGCGGCAAAGAAAACTTAAGTCCTATTTACGTAATTACAAACTTTAAGATTATTATAGCACCGTTATGTGCTTTAGCGCTTTCTATTATTTCTTTGCTATTGTTGTTGATAGTTTACTGCATGCTTCCAGAACTGCGCACACTTCCTGGTTTGAATTTAATGAGTTTTAGCTTCGCCATGCTGTTGTGGCAGACTTACCTTGTAGTATTTTTGTCACTGTATTCTCATGTAGGAAAACTGTTTGAGATACCGTGTGCTAGGCTGTTTGTAGCAAATAAGTTTATGACGTATAGTATAATTATGAATGCTGCGGTTAATATCTACCACTTAAGGAACACATTTTGTGGGAATATTCTAGTGAAATCTGATGAACAGAAGAAGTGGAACAGGTTTTTGAAGTATAGTTTCTTTAGCTGGGGAGTTCCTGTTATTATAACGATTGTTTACATTGTGCTAGCAAAGGAAGATGTTCTAAGGTTTGATCAAAATATAGCGTCTATGTCGACAAAAAACGACGTTCAATCGAGCTTAAGATTTTATCGACGCAATGCGAATGGAGACGCGACGGCAAATAATATGGGGATTTATCACCGTATTGCTTCCTTGAGGGGAAATGCCCTGCAGTCAAAGTGGACGTTAAATCAAAGCACTGACACTGTACTTGAAGATGCCCAGACGAGATTAAATCAAAGCACTGACACTGTACTTGAAGATGCCCAGACGAGGTTTAATCAAAGCACTGTACTTGGGAAGGAAGATGCAACGGAAGATGATGCAAGGATTTATCAACCTATTGTATCTTTGAAGAAAGATGTTCAGTCACGCTTAAAGTTTTATGAACGCATTGTATTCGCGAATGGAGATGGGAAGGAAGATGATGCAAGGATTTATCAACAGATCTCTGGAGATTGTATCAATGGTCGAATTACTCCCGATTGGTCAGCCGATGTTGATGTATATGGTATTCAAGGTTGTCTTTTGTTGTACATTATTGGAATGTTCATCTTCACTGCTTATCGAATTCGCCAAAAACTCAAGGCCAGCAGGAACATTGCACAGAAATCGAATATTGTTAAGCGTCATAAATTTGTCATATTGCTCAAGCTGTCAACCACTACAGCCTTAAGTTATTGGTTTCCTCTCTTCATATCTAGAATCGTGGATTTTGATTTCGACATAAAGATAGCGTTGTATACTGTAACGTTGCTTACTGGTGCCTACATTGGTATTGCGTTTGTCTTCACACGAAGAAATTATCAGTTGTTCAAGAAAAAATATTTCCCAGCAAAGAATAAGCCGCCAGTTAACGAAATTCCGCTGGATAGACTATAGGAGTATAGAATCTGTAATCACGTGCATTTGCAAAAAAAATAATGTCTTGTATCCAATGTAAAAACGCTTATAGTACAACACTATCAATTTAAAATGTATGTACACAATGTGTTTAAGATCATTGTAGTATAATAAAGTAAATAAAACGCCTTGTATGTGTCTTTCAGTCTCCTGCGGAGGATGAGATGGGCGTAAGTACCCTAACAGTCCCCAATCCTCCCCTGGGAAATCTCAGCATGGAGATATTTGGTGCAACGATTCAATCATCAATATAAAATACGATGATGAATTCACACTGGTATCACATTTCATTTGGGAATCAAGCCAAAATCCTAGATCTTTAGCTTCACTGGACGCTGTGACATAAGAATCACCAATACGCAAAGTATCAAAATTGACTTTTTCGAGCTGTTGTCGTGTACCAATAATAAAAAAATCAGTCTTATCGTCGTTAAGTTTGAGTTTATGATTTAGCATCCATGTTTTAATATCATCAATACAATTTTCCATGACAGTAACCGCAGACAGTTGTCCCGACATTGGATCTGGTTGGAACGAAACGTACAGTTGATTGTCATCGGCGAAAGCATGGGCATCAGGTAAGTGACTTTCCAAAATCTGGAATAATTTGGACACGTATAAAACAAACAGACGTGGGCCAAAACACGATCCTTGAGGTACGCCATTTTTTAGTTCAAAACGCTTAGATGTACCACCATTTACAGAGATTACTTGCGAACGGTTAGAAAGATAGGAGATAAACCATTTTAGTACTTGGTCTTGGATGTCAAAACTGGATTTCAGTCGTTCGAGCATTATATGATGGTCGACGGTGTCAAATGCAGCGCTCAGATCCAAAATTACGAGTAAGGTAACATGCTGACGGTTCATGTTCATTAAAATATCATGCTTAACACGTAGTAAGGCCGTCTCCGTACTATTATACTTGCGATAGGCCGATTGTGCCTTTGGATAAAGTTTGTATAAATTCAAGTAATCATTTGTCTGATTAAAGATAATGACTGATATTCACTGGCAGGCAGATTTAACTTTCCATTCAGAATACTCAAACGATCGTCGTTCGACAGCGGCAATTTTAGTAACCAAAATATTTTCTTTAAATAATAATCCAGTACCACCTCGTCGGCGGTTCAAGCGAGGTTCGTCAAAAAACGTGTAGCTTTATGGAGTAGATAGGGTCTTAACAGCAGATTCTTTATCCGTAAACCATGTCTCAGTGAGCGCGACAAGGTCAGGTGTGTGCTCACGTAGAAAGTCAGTAAACTGAGCTGATTTATTGTTCAGAGACTGAGCATTTAAGAGACAAAATTTTACACCATTATTACTAAGCGAAGCGTCTTCTAATGGTTCTTCTGGACTAATGTAGATAAGATTGTGTGGATTACTCCATAATTATTGCTGCCGAAGGCAGCACTCCTAATCTTGACATGAAGGTTTCTCGCTCACTCGACCCAGTCTTTCGCGCCGATCTAAGTATTAGCGAGATCGAGATCTTGTGTCTGTCCAGATGTCGCAATTCTGGGGACGGCGGGGAGTGCGAAAAAAATATTGATTTGCGTGCACATAATTTGCAAGCTTTTTACTCTGGATCTGAAAATGCAAAATATACGAATACTTCCCGAAGAAACCAGGTTAGTATGGCTTTATTTCTTTGTGCTAATATCCATTTATAAGGCGATGAACTGTTTGACGTTTATTCTAGAGGCAAGCAATGTGCTTTTATTTATCGGCGCTTCTTACAGCCCGAAATATCCCATTGTCCGCATGCTCGTTTAGAACATTTTAAAATAATGTCTTAATACAAAAGAGACAAGATGTACTTAAGAGCTCTGAGGTACTGAAACAATATGATTTCATGAATTTACGGGCAGTTTTAATAATAGCCCATCCGATCAGATCTATTCGTCAATAATGCCTTATTTATACAAAGAGTCAAAATGTACTTTTATATAGTTTATTTGTTTGTTATGTGCCAAGCCAGGCAAGACGATGAGTTTATATAGTGTTCATTTTCTAGATGTTTATAGTTTAAAAACAAACGCAGAATGTTGTTAAATCATGAGGCTTACTGTAATAAGATTCCTAGAGCAACCCAGTGTGGATTGTTGTCTGGACATATTGTCTATTGACTTATATTACCAGCAATTACAATTTACATGTAATAGTATGCATGTCAACTGACTTTTGTATAAGTCCTCTGAGATATGTCCATTGTTAGCATATTAAAGATGAAATAATCCTACCGGCCTATATTCATATATTTATCTGGCTCAGGGTTGGTAACTTGGCCTTTTTGCGGCCAAATAACTCGATTTTGGCTTTTTTATTTCTTGCTTGGCCTTGAAAAAAATGTTTGGCCTTTTGGCTCTATTTTGGCTTTTTTTTATCAAGTGACAGGAATTTTCACTATTCTTTAGTATAATTTATTATGAAGGAATGTTAAACTATAAAGCAACATGTAAGAATGTAAGAATTGTGTACCGTTGACATAGGATAAACTAATTTTATTGACACTCAATCAGATCTTAGGAAATTCAACCAATCATAAAGCTGAAAAACTAACCAATGACAACATTGTAGCTTTTCATGTAAAAGTTGGAAACATTTAATTAAAAAAAGAATTTAAAATATGTTGCAAGCTTGCAGCCAATATTATTTTGTATAATTTGAATTTTTTCATCTATCAACAACTACACTTAACCCAAGAGATAACCTGACCAATGTAAGTCGAAAATATTGATAAGATCTGGCTCTTTTTTGGCTTTTTTCAAAAAAATGAAATTTGGCCTAATTTGGCCTAATTTGGCCTTTTTTAAAAGCTCATTTGGCTTTGTGCATGCGCAAAAGCCTACCAACCCTGATCTGGCTGTGTTACTACATTTCAGAGTATATTGTATTTTTCGATAATGCTCACAATTTCTTTCTTATTAACATAGTTTTGCAGTTCTGACTGAGTACAGTCTTAATCATTACAATGAATGGTGTCATTTGAAGCTGACATATTAGTCGGTTGTTCTGTGATATGGGCAGCCTTGAAAGTGGCGTTAAAACAATTGGAACAAATCCCGACTTAGTACTTTTATATAAACATTGTACAGTATTCAGTGATAAGCTAGCTATGGCAACTAGCCATGCAATGCTAATAAACCTGCATCTATTTGAATAATGCAAATCATTAAAAACTTGCACAGCATGACCTGTTGCTATATGCCATATATGGGTCCTACTAAAGAATGCCCGGGAATGCCCGGGAACGCCCGGGGAGATTCGTTGAATGCCCGGGAATGCCCGGGAGTTGGGAAAGAATGCCCGGGGAAAATTACGTTCATAATTACGTTAGTTTATACTAATAAAATCACTTATTTTATGAAAGATTAAATAATTCTTGTAATATATGGCATTGCAGAAACTATTCACAGAATGCCTGGGGAAAATTACGTACCGCTAATGTCTTTTTCAAATCTACTCAGAATATATCAGTATCAGTGAAATATATTTTCGGTAGTGTAAAAAGATTTTTCTTCATCACATTATCACCACAACTTATTTATTTGGCTTTGTAATGCTAAATAATAATGAAGAAACATCTTTTTACACTACCGAAAATATATTTCACTGATAGTGATATATTCTGAGTAGATTTG